AGCAGATTTACTGTGGATGGTCTCCCTACAAAGGACCACACCACTGTCACAACAGGACCAGGATCAGCTTCTCCCACTTTCACACAGTGTGATTTAACACCGTGCTTCACACAGCCACTGATGCAGACACAACTTCTGCAGTCACACTCACCATCCGTGTACGTCTATGGCAAACCGCAAGAGGTTACTTATTTTTCAGGTTGCTGAATTACATTGGTAATGCTCTCATCCTTCTCAAGGATGGAGTGAGTTGTTCAGACATTAATTCAAGTCTTGATGATGATGGAGGTCGAGAAATGTACCTCATTATCTCTTAATTTCCCCCCCAGTAATGTTTTTGCCCTCATATTTTAGATCCATGTCATTACAGATGTTTTTGTAGAGTCAGATAAGTAATACTGTCTTCCTGATAAGTAAATCAGCATGACATGTAATCAATTTTGCATGCCTCTGTGTGCGGTCAGTGTAATTATCTGTAGGGTTGGGCATGGACTTAAATCTATCAGAAATACAGAAGTAGTTATGTATTTAAAGCTTCAACAGCCATCTGTTTTAACTTTGCATTGTGGTCATTAGTATGGTTTAATGTCTTGGCACACAGGCCAAAAAGTGCAGACGCCAACTGTGCATTTTGGGCATGTTTCCTTGCCTCTCCAATAACATTTGGGTTTGGTTTCCTCCACCAGCCTCTGTTATGTTGACTTCATCACTGTGAAACCTAAGGAGCTGGTCCTTCTGTCTCTCCAGGATTTGAGTTTCAGAGCTTCTAAAACTTGATCATTTGAGCATGAAGGTGGCAAATCAATGAAATCCAGCCGTGTAACACAGGCACCACTTCTCATCGTCTCTCCCAAGGATGGCGTGCGTTGTCCAGATTGCAACAAAGATGTAAAATCCCAACAGGATTGCTAAATCAGCATGAAATGTAATCAATTTTACATGCCTCTGTGTGCTGTTTAAATGCCATTATCAGTGAGGTTTGGCTTAAATTTAAGTATTACAGAAGTCCTCCATTTAAAGTAACAACAACCATCTGTTTGCATTGCATTATAGTCATCACTATGGTTTTATGCTGGCACACCACTAAATTGCCTGTGCCAACTGTGCATATTGAGCATACTGCCTTGCCTCTCTGATAACTTTTGGGCTTGGTTTCCTCCAACAGCCTCTGTTATGTTGATTTGTGTGAAACTTCAAGCGCCTCTGTCTCACCAGAGTGTTGAGTTTCACTGCTTTTAAAACTCAATAATTTAGCATGAAGGTGACAAATTGCTAAAAATCCAACAATCAACAATAATCAACATCATCAACAGAATCTGAACAAAACCTGTGTTCACATATGAAATTAAAAGATCTGGAATTTAGTTTGTAGATTATAATTGCTGTAATTACTTTGTTCAGCTATAAAACCACGTTCACAAGAGCAACCTCTCCAGGCTGACCGCGGCTGTATGCTCACAACTTCTATTCATAACTTTTTTTTCAGGTCAATTTATAACATGCTGTTATTATGAAAACCTTAATCCATAATTGAGTGTTCCCAGGCAACAGGGTTTTCATAACTGAAACATTATGGTATATAAAAATTTATTTTATTTGATTAAGAGATAGAGAGAGCTTGAGCAATATTTACCTTTAACTGGCTATATACTGGTCAATAATAAAACCTGTGGAACATGTATGTGGGTAGCATCAAAAAGGGGTTCTGTTTTTTTTGTTTTTTACCCCCAAATGAAACTTAATATCCTCACCAGTGATTTGTCCAGGGGGCCACACAGATCTCTCTCTAGTCAGCATTTATTTTGTCGGCAGAAAAGTGCAGCTAATCTGTGAAGAAAGGCCTCGTCACCTGCAGGGGTCCACCTGTTCGACCTGCACCCTCTCTCCGGTTTCTCTGTTCCCACTGACCTGAGACAATACAATGCCGGGTGGCTTCACCTCCTCTCCAGCTCATGTTACACAACCACCCAGGGCAAAAGTGGACATGAAAGTGCTGTTTGTGTGGTTGGGTGAAACCAGGTAAAGGCAGTTACACACCTGATCGCTCACAGGGACACACACAGACATTATTTATATCTGTCCATATGAAAGCTTTTTATTTGTTTTGATTTGCTCGTCAAGAGTAACTGTGAACTGTCAAGATAATGATGTGAATGAGTGTCTAATTAATGTTTAATTGAGGGATATCATTTCAACAGGTCATAACATTAGTTATTATTATTTCACATATGCTAATTCTAATGGGTTAATATGGAGCATTATGATCCTTAATGTATAGTAACTCTACCTACAGACGACCTGATTTAATGGTTATTAGATACAGAGTGGTTTGAGCTATGACACTAAGGAGTAAAGATTAAGACTAGATCTACTGCCCAGTACTTTAAAGTGAAATGTGATGGGGATTATGGAGCAACAGGTGAATTTATAGAAAACATTACTTACAGCAGAAATACAGCTAGAAAAGGATGTGAACAACTGTCCTTAAAGTTAAGACCGAGATAGGGAAGGGCTGTTGTATAAATGAGGGGACATTTATCAATTCTTCTTTATCAATAATAATCTAATTTCTAAGTTTCAGCTTTTTAAATAATTATTTTTCGTTAATGAGAAGAGGCCACCGGACTGTTTACATTCTGTGTGGTGGAAGAAGTACTCACATCTTTCACTTACGTAAAAGTACCAATACTACAATGTATAAATACTCCATTATAAGTAAAAATCATTCATTTCTAATCTCACTTAAAGCAGCACCAGGGAACTTTAATTTTGTGGTGATTCTGGCGGCCCCTGTGGACAAAAGCAGTAGCGTTCCCACCGCCTCATTTCATTGATTTCAATGGGAATAACTGTATAGAAATAGCCAGTCTTCTCTGTGGCTCATAGGCATTGGTGTTAAATTGAGTTTCACAATGAGTTAGCAAACTCTTTGTAGTAGGTTTAAGTTAAAGTATATAAATATTATACATCATATCAAAATAAGTATCAAAACTAAAAGTAATAGTTCTGCAAATTATATACGTTTATATTTTAGATTATTATTTAATATTATTATTATTAGATAGCTAAACCGTTCAGTCCAGTGGTTTCCAAACAAGGAGTTGGGCCCCTCCAAAGGGTCACTAAGTAAAACTGATGAAAATATTGAATAATTTGATCTTTGATTTGATTCAAACGGTTATTTAAGTGTAATCTTCTGAAAGGTTTCTAGGGGAAAAGTTCCAGCAACAACTCATAGACATCTGAGACATGACAGTGGGACTTAATTAGACCAGCTACTGGTTTAATAAAATGTATTTTATGCACGGGTCTTATGTGTTTTTTTTTTTTTGTAAACTCTTAATTTGAAAATAATTACAGCTGTCAAATAATTGTAGAGTAAAAAGTAGTGAATGAGAAGTATAAAGTGGCACAAAATTAAATACTGACATCAAGTACAAGTACCTCAAAATTGTACAGCATGTACAGTACTTGAGTAAAAGTACAGTTACTTTCCAACCACAGTGTACCAACCCTCAACAACTATAGGCAGGTATCGTGTCAATGGATGTAGGAGACCCCTCCGATGACTTCTGATGCATCCGTTACCAAACTCACAGCAACAGAGATGCCATTCACATATCTTACACTAGAACCTCCCTGGTCATTTGCTGCAATTAGGAATGTGGTTAAGACCCTAATACACCCCCCCCCCGTCACATCCTGCCAACGCATACACACGCAGACGTAGCAGGCTTTCTAACATCAACAATGCCCACATTGTGTTCTGTTATGTGATTGTGGCCCAGGCTGGTTCAAAAGCTCACACCACCATCAAACACCAGCAGATACACCGGGGAAAAAGTGAGCGGGCGATACAATGAAGCTGTTTTATGTGTCCTGCAGGTTTCAGAGGACAACAAAGCTGCCAGCTCATATCACTGATGCTGGTGGGTGGAAACATCAAACCTCCTTGAAACCACATTGAACTTTATCCTTTGGGGGGAGTTTGTGCAGCTGTTTGTGAAATGATTTGTTAAATGTTCCTTAACACAACTTCCCCCAAAGCTACACAAAGACACAAAGAGGAGCTTCTGTCATTAAATCAATGCTCTGATGTCCTGAGGTGACTGAAGATGTCTTGACTGATTACATAGTGATAACTTATTTATGAACATTGTCCTTAGCAGGTGTTATTGATGAGAGCGTTTATTAATATTTTATAAACGTTTCTTGGCTGGATGATCAAACCCCCGAAACCTGAATATAGTGTCCATATTACATTTTTTTTAAAGTCACACAGAAATTAGGGTTTTTTTCTCCCCAAAAAATCCTGATAGTGAGTGAAATTCCAGCCCTTCTAAAGATAGCACCGCCTTTTAGTGACCTGCAACAGCCTGTCGCCTTGTTTGGCTGAATTTGGGAGGTTTATTTGTCCAGCTGGATGTAACACTTGCTGTTTATCTGCTTCCACCAAACTAAAATAGCAAAACAACCCTTTAGATTTCACATGTCATAGTTAGATTTTAATGGCATTATACTGCAACTTTCCTTTGAGTTTAAATTCTCATATACAGGTAGACAAGATTTTATTTTATAATAGTCATTTTGTCAAAAGCTATTCTAGTGTTGCTCAATCATCTATGACACCATTTCTAGGTCAGCAACTCATTTAGAGAGCAGTTTATCTTCTGTAGTCTGCAGAATAAATCTTATGTGATACACACATCTCACCTGTAAGACAAGAAGAAATAAATAAAATGTATTTCACAGAACTATAACAGCAGTAGATGAGGAGTGTGTGATACATATTAGTCATATTAATTTTAATATTTTCAACATTAATGAATATAGAGGAGGACCCAAACTGATTATACAGTTATTGTGGTATATTTCATGCCTATAAATTGCCTTTATTTCAGCTAAAATATATACATATAAAACCCTTTAGCGGTGCTGTTCTACGCGGTGACCGGAGGGGGCGCTCGACAGTAGAGCAGAGTCCGGCGGTGAAACGACCAGCGGCGGTCTTCAGTCAAACTGCACCGGGCTGAGCGGAGAGCAGCAGCAGGGTCAGTGGCTCTGAACATTGGACTAACTCCTGGACACATCTGGACAACGCTGAGATGCTGCTGCAGGGACGACCCTCTGCTCTTCACGTTGCACTTTTATTTTATAATTTTTTCCTGGAGCCATCCGCGGTGCTCGCCTTCAACCTTGACACCAGTCATGTCATCAAGAAAGACGGAGAGCCGGGCAGTCTGTTCGGGTTCTCCCTCGCCATGCACCGGCAGCTCAACCCGGATAAAAGAATGTGAGTAATGTCTTTACCTGCAGCTCATCTCTCATGTTTCATCTGCCTGTGGTCGTTTGTTTGAAAGGGCAGCTCCATTATAAGAGCACCTGACGGGACAGGTTCACTTTAATTACTGACACAACTTTTAAATATACCTAATTTTTTTGTTGTTGTCTAAAGTTATAAAAGTCAATTACTGGCTTATCATTTGCAGTAAACATTATTAATTTAAGGATTCTGCTTTTGCAAGACCAAACCCCCCCCCGATTTTCATTCACTGGTTGTAATCTTATTGCAACAATATATAAAAGTTACTGTAGTAACTTTCTACCTAAGCCCACAGTGTTTCTTGTCACATCATGTGTGTTATTGTTCGGATTGTCAATAGAGGTTGCCTGTCTCCCTGTGGAGCTTTGAATATAAAATGGGAAGGAGCTTAAAGACAACAAGTGAACAAACAATGGTTACAACTGTAATGCAAATGAGCCTGTAAGGTCAAACTGAGAGGAGAGGATGGTTAATTGGTTAGCTGATCAACTTTTCTCATTGATTGATCTTTGGGTTTTGACATGTTGGTGAGACTAAACAAGCAATTTGAACCTTGGGCTCACTGTTTTCTGACAATAATTGATACATTAATCAATAGTGAAAGTTAGTGTTCACCTTATATATATGGCGTTTCAACGTCTTTGTATTGTAAGGCGTGTTTCAGTGTTACATTTAGATTTTTCCTGTTAATATCAGTCACTTACGGCTAATGAGTGGTGTTTAGTGTGGTGCACTGTAAACCTCAAAGGGTCTTTTACAGTAAGGACTAAGCAGGTGTATTTCCTCTCAACAGTTTTACCTTTAAAGTTTGATTTATTGACAGTAGGCTGCTGAGAAGAGATGACTTCAGTGAGAGTTTGTTTACTAATGCATCCTCAACAGCTCAGGCAGACATTCATATTCACATAAGTGAGGCAGGTAAGAAAGGTTTTCTGCTCGAGTCAAAATGAGAGTAAACAGGAGTTAGAGTTAGAGAACTGTAAAATGTTTCCTCAGTGCAGCATTTCAAGGATTCCGGTCGGCACATACACTACAGTAAATCATTTCCTCTGGCTATCCCTGAGGGAGCAGAAAAGACATCAGTGTAGTGAGCCTCGTCATCCTGCCACACAAAGTGTAACGGGGGGTAAAGTGAGGAGGGGGAGGTAACGTGTCAAAGCCTGTGACCAGGGTGAGGCTGCATGCAAGAGGTACTGTGTTATACTCGGGTTAGCAGGCACAGGACTCTGCAGCAGCATGTCGACAAACAGAGAGCAAGGATGAGAAGCCCTGATAACAGGACCTAAAGATCTCATAGATTAGGCTTAACTTGTGGAATTTTATCTAACTAGTGTTTTGACAATTGTGTGCAGGCAGCTACTGGTTTTTTTACAAGGCTTCTTTTGTGCACAAAGAACGTAAAAAAAAGGCATTTTTGCATTTGTCACACTTGACAAGTGTAAAGAGAGTGAAAGTCATGAAATGAATGTAATATTTGTTGGGCAAACAGAGGCTCAAAATGTGACACAGGGCTGATAGTTGGTTTTCAGCCAATAAAAGTAAGAGGAGAGTGAAGATTCACTTCCTTACATTCTGATCTATGAGAGAGCTGCTCCAGTTTTTAGCAAACATGCACACAACACGTGTAGAAGCTGCTTCTTGAGAACATAAACAGCATCATTACATTGGTTTGTTTGTGCAGAAATACATCTGTAAGGAAACTGCTGACAAGAGCTGCAACTATTACTTGATTAATTGATTAGTTCTCAACTATTGAATTAAGCATCTTTTAGGGTAATTTAAGAAAAAAAAAATTAAATTATCTGATTTTAGCTTCTCAAATGTGAATATTTTCTGGTTTATTTAGTCCTTTATGACAATAAACTTAATATATTTGGGTTGTGGACAAAACAGAACATTTGAGGATGTCACGTTAGGCTTTGGGAAAACGAAGAATTGAGAAAATGTCAGACAGATTAATTAATAATTATTAAATTAATAGAAATTATCAGTGGTTGTAGATCTTTTGAGTTTCTGCTTTTTTTGGTCATATATGATAGTAAATTGAATATTTTGGGGTTTTTAACTGATGTTCAGACAGAACAAGAATTCCTAACTTGAAATCAGCTTTTTTTACTGTCCTCAAACTTTCTTGAAGCCTAAAGTGACACCATCAAATTGCTCATAATCAACAGTCCTAAGCTGATCACACGAGACAAAGAAAAGCAGCAGTTTAGTTAAAAACTTAAACGATTAATTGATTAATCAGAATACTTTCCTATGAGTCTTCTGTTTTGAGTAATGAGTAATTAGTAAACTAATTGTTTCAGCTCTACTGACAATTTATTGCTTGATCAACACACATAGAGTCTGTGTTACTGTATAGAAACTCAACAGGTTATTGTAACAGTGTGGACTCAATAGCAGCTCTCCGTTCTTCACCAGCATCCCGTCTCTAAATCCTCATGTGACCCCAAGATAATCAGCCAGTCACAAGTCAAGTGAAAGTTCAGTGGAGCACACAGACGAAGGTAATGAACAGCCCTGACTAACCTAAAGCTGAGGGACACACTGAACGCTCTGAACTCATGAAACTACAAGTCAGCGCTGTGTCACACTCTGCATCTGTCTCTTTGTTCTTATTCAGACATGGTGTTTGATGACGATTGCTAGCAGCTGTAAATCTCTACTGGCTACCGCTGCATACTTTAATGTGATTATAATAAATCATATGTGAAGAGCCTTTTCAGGGCTCTTTCTGAGCGCTGAATATGTTTGGTGAGCGACGTGTGTGACTAGAATGATTAAATTCAACCGGTCTTTCATCTCTTCTGTGTTTCAGAGCTTAAAAGTCCAAATCTGCTCCACTTGACTGCCATTAAAAACAAATTTTCTGATTAAAGTGATTTGTTATTCATATTGCTTACAACCATTTATGCAACTCTATCCATGTTGTTCCTCTAATGGGTTCATTGAAAGCACAACTTGGGTTCTCACAGTGTTTATGGCGTTATCATGCCTCTCATATTGGTTTCCGATGAGTTTGAGAAACAAGAGAGATCAATGTGTCCTCAACATCAGACTGAACATAATGTGGCATCTTGCAAAGAGGCAACTGGATGCCTCTTCCATGAATAACGTGTTGGGTTAATGATGTGGATGTAACATCCTCCGAATGAAACCAGAGAGAACAGACATTTGACTGGACATGCAGGGCCATCTGTGCACATGTAACCTGATAGATTAAACGCATCAGTGAATCATCAGTCGAGACATTCCAGTCGAACTTAACACTGAAGTTTGGCCAACTTGAAAGGAGACCACACAGCTTAGAGAAAGTTCAATAAACACAGTAAAAAACGTATTTAAGTCTTCGTTTTAAACTTTATTCTTTACTTAAAGTTTAAATTTGTAGTGAATATTCATGATTTCCTCTGGGATGTGTACCCAGCCAATCACAGGTCAGCACCAATCAAAGCTGTGTGTTTGTGTGCGTAAACTGAAACAGTTAGAACAGCTGCAGCAGTTCTTGTAGCTTTGAGTGCACAGCTGTGGGAGAACTGGACCACATCTGTTAACAAAGAGCAGTGAGATCACTGTGTAAATCCACACCAGTCACTATGCATTCACATTTACACTGCACTGAAAGACATGTTGCATGATGGGACATGGTTTCACACTGTAGTCTGGCTGACACTGGATTGTATCAGTGTATTTATTGATCGAGCTGTATTTCAGCCTCTGTATTGGTTGTAATGCGTCAGGACAGTTTGATGCTTTGAGAATAATGTTTCTGACTGCTATAGTTACATCCTCAGAGTCTATATTAGCCTACAAAGCAAACATTGTATTTATTTCTGCAGCAGAAAGTCAGAAAAATGACAAAAATTTACCTTTTTTCCCAACTGAGAATGAACTCGTCTGCTTGAGTTGTAGCACGGTAATGTCAATGTTACCCCTCAGCTACTTGCTAAATTCTACAACTGTCACTTTCCTGAGTAGCTCTGCTGTTAAGTTGGAGGTGTTTTCCTTTAGCTGTGTTACAGGCTCTTCCTAAATGTGGTGTTTTCCTGCATGTTGCCTCATGGATTTTTCTTCTCTTGAGGAAAAAGTAGCTATCAGTGATGCAGAAAAGGCTTTTTAACTTTTAATCTGAGTACATGTTAAAAGCAGCTTTGAGCGGCTACTTGGACAGAGCTTTGATTCACATCCTGTAAATGTTTATTATTGCATTTTCATTGTGTAAGTTCTTCTCTTTCTGTATTTATAAGTGGATGCAATCTATGTATATGTCTAAAACTATTAATTGATTATCAAAATAGTCACTGATAAATCTCTGTTGATCAACGACAGTAATGAATCATGCCAGCTATAAATCTAAAGCAATCCCATTTTATGAGCTGGTTCAACTCTGCTGAAGCTGTAGATTGCAGAGATGTTGTGTTGGAAGATATTAATAGATTTATCTATTAAAAATAACAATTTTCAGTCTCTAATTTCACACACAGAAAATGTTTTCCTAGTTTGTACTCTGCTTGGCATCACCCTCTGACACATGTTAGGCTAAACTACTGCTGAAATGTCAGAAAGCTAACTTTGTAAAGGTTTTTGTATATATTTGCATTTCACTGGGCTTTGTTTGAAAAGAGGGTTCGCAGTTTGGCCTTCAGTCTTACATCAGACCTCCTTGGGAGAGTCCTTGTTTAGCAAATGAAGAGCAACGGGGCTGAGTCACAGATCAATAGGTGGGTAACAGAAGGAACTGTAAGGGAGGAGAAAGGGGTGGAGAGGATTTCCTCTCTCCGTCCTTTGAGAAAATTCCTACACAGTAAGTATGCCGGTCAGTTCACTCATTATAGTGTAGCTTACAATATACTACTTGCAGTCTTTCCCCCCCAAAATCACAGTAAAGGTCATTTCATATAAAGATAATAATCTTATGTCTGTAGTTTTGGCAATTTAAGATTGAACTGCCATTTCATTATTCAATCTTATGTTGCCCTATATGATTTATAGTTTGGCTAATCAGTCATTAGTGAATAAAGTATCCAGTCTGAGGTCTTTTTCTCCTCTCAGTCAGGGTTACGGTAGAAGTTTTCAGAGATGGCAGAGCTGTTTTATGGGTGTGTTTTGGCACAAGACTAAATCAATGTTAGAGCTCTTTATAAGCGCATTATAAGTCAGCTGCACCATAAATGACACATCCTTGAACTGTGTGTTAATCGTTTAGATATATTGTTGAGGTTTTCAGTAGTTGACTAGCCATCACACTAAATATCTTTAATTCATATCCATCCTGTGCAGCTGTGCAAGTTCCGTCATTTTCTTATTTATTTAAAAACAACCACTGTACGAGTCAGCCAGAGACGTGATTTTAACTAAATCAAGTAACTAATGTTAGTTTAATTAGCTAGCTAGCTTTTGTGTGCTTCTGTCTATAATCAAGAACCCATTTTTTTCTTGCCCTTGCAAGAACAGAAAGTTTGACAGATATATCAACAGTAACCATAAATGGTATCAGTTCAGTCAATTGCTGACAAGATGTTAATGATATGTAGTCTTGTATAAAACGATTGCATCGTCACCAAGATGAGTGGATTGTTGAAGTTTGAAGTTTGAGTTTGTCTGTGCAGGATGCTGCCACTGACAGGAAATGTTACTGGTTTAGGGTTTCTGTGTATAGCTCACAGGTCTTTTGAAATACTGTGTAAAAAGTTACTGGTGTATGTGCCACCACAGACAACAACACAGAGTTGAGAGCAGCGGTTCATTTGGAAAGTACAAGAAGGAAGCAAACTGTTGGTTCAGGTCTCAGTTGTATTCCAGTTTTATACAATCAGTTTTATCTGAAGTTAAAAACACGTCAACATGATGCCAGCCACAACCAGAGTAAATGATACTTTACACAATGATACCAGATGCTAGTAGTGGCGTACTAATACAGACGATTCACAAAAGAATAGTTATAATAGCAGTTGATAAAATTACATGATTATGTTTTTTTTCCTGCAGATTAAGTCCAGTCCCAAGTTATTGATTACATCAAACTGCAGATATTTCATAAATTCTCAGTCTCAAATATTGTGTCTTGAGTTAATATAAAATCTGTGAGAGATTTTAAAAATGTTTGTATGTATCTAATACACAAGTTTAGAAATACATGTGTAAAAGAGAAGCTGTTGAACACATGTGATCTCAGAGTGAAACACTTCCCTCTCTTCGTGCACTTTTGAGGCTATGTTAATATGAGGGTTTAAAGGAGAAGTTGTGATCAGTCAACCGTGGTTGTTCAGAGCACCGAACACACTCCAAATTGTCTGATTCGCTGCTCCTTTGCCCTCTGCAGAATGTCAGACAGTAGTCTACTGTCCCGAAGTGAAGTTTTGTTTCTTATCACAAAATACCACAGCTCTTTGAGAGACGGATTGAACACAACCAGCTTTTTACTGGCTGAACCTGATGAATCATCCTCTGAAATACAAAATATGTGCATTAGTCAAAAACATGTAGAGAAACAGATTTATGTCTGTTATGTTAATAATGTATTATTCATTTACTATTATTAAGCACCAGAGCTTTTATAGCCAGGGCCCCGAGGCTCTGGAAGGACACGCCCAAAGGAATAAGTCAGTCATCATCATCTTTCACACTGAAACACTGAAAACATACTTTTAGTTTCGACTTTATACTGAGTTATTTCTAAAGGATTTGACCCAAGCCCAATTTTTTGTGTAAAGCACTTTGTAACTGTCATCCATCATTAAATTCCTTGAATAGTAGTTTTTAGCCCTGAGGGGATGGCAATGTTAATCTGTCTGTTGGTTGAATGGTCCACATTTTGTACAGATAGCCATCTGACCCGGACAATATATCCTGACTGTGGTGATCCCTTGACTTTTCCTGTAGTGTGAGCTAAATGTCTTCAACACTATTAGATGTATTCTCACAGAGATCCAAGTCGCCCTCAGGATGAACTGTAATAACTCTGATAATCTCTTAACTTTCATCAAGCCAGAATTTTAGTTGCAAAACAGATGATATTCCCACCAGCCTCAGCTTTACTTTGTGTTTAGTGCTAATTAACAAATGTTAGCATGCTAACATGCTAATATACAATGGTATACATTATACATGCTAAACATGAGCATATTAGCATTATCGTTGTGTGCCTGTTAGCACGCTGACGTTAGCGTTTGGCTGCACACAGCCACTGCTGTGTCCCAAGTTCATACAAAATGTATTGCTTATGCTTTAATACTTAGTTTTAGCTTTCTGGAACTGTTTCACCGTCACTCATAATTTATTCTAATGTCTTTCCTTCAGCCCCCCATTTCCTTTGTGCATTGCATTGTGGGAGAACGGTATATATCAACAGTACACAGTTCAACCGCGCTTAGCACTGTATAAGTATAGATAGTAATATTAACAGGGATTTGTTGTGGACATAAATAAATTATATAAACTTTGTCAATTCTAATCTGGTTTTAGGACTTTGTCCAGTATTGAATCTGACCTCGTCCTGGTTTCTGGCTGATCCTTCTGCGTTTAGATCTAAGTGTGATCTTCGACAAATTTGACCATTTTTGAGACACAGTAACTCTAACAGGGTCTTTATTTATTGTAATTGTCAGTTTGTTTTAGTCATTTTGATTTTCTTTGATAGTGACGGTGTAAAATCAGACAGGAAGAGAGAGAGAGAGAGGGAGAGAGAGAGAGAGAGAGAGGGGTATGACATATATCACAGGTCGCAAGCCGGAAATGAAGCAGGCATATTGTGGTCTCATGGCTATTAGGCCCTATTGTTCTTGGGTTAGAGAAGCAAGCTTGTGACCGGAAGGTTGTTCAATCCTCTGTTCGGGAAAAGTGAAAAAGCAGCACTTGCCCCTCACTCATTACCAACTTAACCCCAACCCCTCCAGTGGAGCTGCAGCAACAGATCAGACTGTGTTTGTCTCTCAGTGGACTTGAATAAATAAATAATAAAGAATTGTAGTTCTATAGATATTTGCAGCATAGCTACATGTGATTTAATAAGAGAAAATGGCTCATCTGAAACAAACGTCAACTTTGTTTTTTTCACTTTGACAGACACATAAATGAAGAAGTTGAACTAATATCTTTGCTGACAACCACAATATCAGTATTTCAAGAAGGCAGACAGACAAGAAAAACATGCTGTTGCAATGCCATCACTGTCGTCACTGATCTTCCCACATTCACAAGCTGCTGCTGCTGCTGCTGCTTAGAAATGTAGGAACATAGAACTTATAGGTGATGACAGGTAGCTACATCAAAAAGTAAATCTTGTTTGTTTTGTCTTTTTTCTTCAGGCTGTTGATTGGTGCACCCAGAGCCAGAGCTTTAGGAAAACAGACAGCCAACATCACAGGAGGCCTTTATCAATGTGAAATTACCCAGTCCAGTGACTGTGAGCGCATTGTATTTGATAATGAAGGTGAGTTATCTATCTATCTATCTATCTATCTATCTATCTATCTATCTATCTATCTATCTATCTATCTATCTATCTATCTATCTATCTATCTATCTATCTATCTATCTGTCTGTCTGTCTGTCTGTCTATCTATCAGTGCTCATATCATTGTCTCTTTTTGATGCATTTTTAAAGAGAACGTGCTTACTGAGAACAAGGAGAATCAGTGGATGGGGGTGACGGTTCAGAGCCAGGGACCTGGGGGAAAGATTGTGGTGAGTTAAACCATCGTTCCAGTAACCTTACGTCCTGGTTTGGTCTTGGTATGAACCTAAACTCAGCTGTGTTTTGGTATTTCAGACTTGTGCTCATCGCTATCAGAGACGCTTGTTTGTGAACAGCCCTCAGGAGTCTCTGGACATCACCGGGCGCTGCTATGTCCTGAGCCAGGACCTGACCATCGACTTGTCCTCCGATGAGGACGGAGGTAACTGGAACTTCTGTGAGGGCAGAGCCAGAGGCCATGAGATGTTTGGGTCTTGCCAGCAGGGTTTGGCGGCCACCTTCACCAAGGACTACCATTACGTTGTGTTCGGAGCACCAGGCGCTTACAACTGGAAAGGTCACCAACTATACATCCCTTCACAGCGCTTTAGAGTATTCACCATGAGAATCAAGTTTCTCATGTGGTGTCTGTTCTCTCACCTCCTCTGCAGGCATTGTACGAGTGGAGCAGAAGAACAACACTTTGCTAGAGATGGGAGTGTACGATGACGGCCCGTATGAAGTCGGAGATGAGAATCTTTTGAATCCTGAGCTTGTACCTCTTCCTGCCAACAGCTATCTCGGTGAGTGTCTACAAAACATACTAAAACTAAAAATATTTAGTCCTGTTGCTGCTGTAACAAGTCTCCTCTAAACTCCTCTATGACAGTGTCAAAAAAACAACACAGTAAAGGCAGACCAGTTGTATTCGACTGCATCAAATTCTTCAGTTGTGCCTAACAAAGGAATAAAAGTACTCTGATGCTAACAAGGCAATCAAGAGTCAGATTTGTTTAGAACAGGGAAGAGATCACTGTCAGTAAAGCAGAATCATGTGTCTTGTGTGTGGAAACTCTGGTAGTTAAAGCAAAATTGTTTAATATGCACATCTGACACCAATGAGATAGATTGCTTTAAAGGGAACACGCACGTCATGATCATGATCTTGTTTTTTTACATGAAATTCATCTTGGCTCATTTTGTTCGTCGTGTACCCAGTATAGTTACCAGTTAATTGCATTTTTCTTGGCTGATAAAAAAAGGGCATGACAGAAAACATAATTGGCAGTGTTTGTAGATCAGAAGCCGTGAGAGATCGTATCCTTGTTGCTGCACTAGTGACTCCTAGTGATTGGTCAGGGCAACTGCGTAAAGATGTGAGGACATCTTGAAGCCATCTCACTGGCAGGTTAAAAAATAAAGGACTCAAAGAAACCCGTTCTTCAGTGTAAAATAAGATTTTCCCTACACATCTCTCCCACTTTAGGATTCTCCCTCGATTCGGGACACAGAATCACCAGGAGTCGTGGCCTGACAGTGGTGGCTGGAGCGCCCAGAGCCAATCATAGTGGAGCTGTGGTCCTGTTGAAGAAAGAGAACGACGTCTCCAACAGACTTTTGGTGGAGCACATTCTGCATGGGCCAGGACTTGCATCCTCCTTTGGATATGACGTGGCTGTAGTTGACCTGAATAATGATGGGTAGGAAACATTTTCACCTCGTCTTTATTGTGCTATAGTATACAGATAATTTAATCTTATTAGGAAGCTGCAAAATGAAGAAAACTAGACACAGACATAAGAGAAACATCTGTAAAGCTTTAAGATTACTTTATTGTAAATGTGTCTTATGAGGTCATATTCTGTATGATAGCTATAAATATTTACCTCCCTTCTTTGATATAGGTGGCAAGACATAGTTGTAGGAGCCCCTCAGTTCTACATGAAGAACAGAGACATTGGAGGAGCTGTTTATGTCTACATCAACCAGGCGGGAAGGTGGGAAAGAATCACTCCTATACGTCTAAACGGGACCAAAGACTCGATGTTTGGAATTGCAGTGGAGAACATTGGAGACATCAATCAAGACTCGTATGAAGGTAATTGAGCTGTCATTTTGTGGCTTATTTATGTTTTCTCTGTTAGTTGCTGTCAAGTAAACTGCTTTCTCTCTCACACAGACATTGCAATCGGAGCTCCTTATGATGACGGCGGAGCGGGAAATGTCTACATTTATCATGGCTCTGCACAAGGGATCAAAACCAGCCCTGCACAGGTGGGTTTTTGTGGAAAATATATTCATGTTAACAATGGATGACGTGACTGCTTATATGTAAAAGGAGTTGGTTGGAGCGATAAACCCACAGAGAATTGTTCCCTGACTCTGCAGCTCTCCTCGGCTCTAGTGACTTTATAGTGAGTTTCAGATTATTATTTTGGTTTTCAGGTCCACAAGTTTCCGGTTTTGTTCAGTCTCACAGCTCCCAGACGTTTTTTGGCCGCAGCAGGTGGTTGTTGGCAGCGAAAAGCTCTTAACACAAACTATACGCTCACCTTCCCAACTCCATAAGGTCCCATATTAAAATGTCCAACGTCAGAGCAGAAATAAACATGTAACATGCTTAAAATGATGCATGATTAAGGGGATAGACACTTTAAGTGATAGGTGAATGCCGTCAGGTGTCTGTTTTGGTAACCAGGCTTCATTTGGCTGCCTCATATTATTTATTATTATTTTTGGATTTGCCTTGAGACGATGGAGTGAGGATGGCCAAGATGGCGACGGCCAGAGCCGACCGCACTGAACTTCACAGCGGCTCTTCAGAAAGCCTGATGTGTCGTTACAGAAACCACGTTCATTTGTAATTATAAATGATTTCTCCTTCATTACAGATCCTTTCAGGAAAAGCACACAATGTGAGATTATTTGGATATTCTCTGGCAGGGAACATGGACTTGGACAGTAACTCTTATCCCGACGTGGCTGTAGGCTCTCTGTCGGACACAGCTCTAATCTATAGGTAATTGTTCTTATATTATGTCATTATATCGTTTTAAGCAAATTAAAACCCTTACGGATTTCTATCACAACTTCATTTAACAACCTTTCTTTCAGGGCACGGCCAGTCATTAGCATCAGGAGAGATGTCAAAATATCTCCACAGGAAATTGACCTTACAATCAAAACCTGTGGTGACAGCATTTGGTTCGTGTTCTAATATTTAGATATTTCAGCAGACCTCAATTTAAAAAATCCTGTTAGAATTATTAAAAAAATCTATTTCCTTTCCTTAGCTTCACCGTGGAGGCATGCTTCACCTACAAAGCAAACACTGCATCTTACAACCAAAGACTAAGTAAGTGAAATCATATAAAATTTATTTTATTTTTTTTACAAACTAACAAAGATTTGTTCAGTTGTTCTTACATGTTTTTCCTTCTGCTCTGCAGCTATCAGCTACTCTGTGGAAGCGGACGGAGATCGCAGGAAACAGGCGCTGTCCTCCAGAGTGATGTTCCTGAACAAATCTCGCACTGAAACAGACTACCAGTTTAATGGCACCTTAGACCTCCGCGCTCAGAAACAGGAAACATGCATTAAGATAAAAGCCAAACTGAAGGTAAAACACAGATGCCATGAAGATAAATCACATTTGCAAGATATAATCCACTCAGAGAGCAACGGACAGGAACATTTGAGTTAGTCTGTGCTTGTCTGAGGAATTTACTGAAAGATATAATCACACTTCAAAATAACAGAGAATTTCTTTGTTATTACTGTGTATTAGTGAAGATTACATCTAGCCTCAGCTAGATCCTGTCCTACACATAATACAAAGCTGAAACAATTAGTTTAATTAATTAGTTGACAGCCATAAGCTATTTAGATAATCCATTAATCATATCAGACATTTTCCAAGTACAAATCACAAACATGAGCTGATTCCAGCTTCTCAGATGTGAAGATTTGTCTCTTTTCTTTATCTTATGTGATAGTAAACTGAATATCTCTGGACTGTTTATATAATTACATCATGTTGGGCTTTAGGAAATGGTACTACTTACACTACTTTATGACATTTATAGACTAAAGGATTAATCAATTGATTAATCAATAATTAATATAAGTCAGTATTTTCACACAAATTCTATATTTTTTCTTAAATATTTTTTCAGATAATATTTATGGCTGCTTGAAACTTAAAGTGCTGATCCTCTCAGGCAGCCCTGAGGAGAGACAGTCAGGTCCAAAGCCAGCTGTGAGACAGGCTGCAGTTAGAAAATGTATTTTAAATAAGTATTTTAAAAAAATGTCTACAGTGAAATATCTTTTTCAAAGAATAGTAACTCTAATAACAAAAATAAAATTTAATGTAACATTTTTTCAGTGTAAACAGTTTCTCCTGTATTATAGAACAGAGGTAGAAGCAGTTATTATGCTCCGTACTACTGTGGCTCTTTCTGATTTGCACAGGACAATATAAAGGACAAGATGAATAGCATTCCCATTGAGGTGTCTGCAGAAATTGTGGGTAAACGACAGAAGACGAGGAACGGCCTTCCTCAGCTCATGCCCATATTAGACTCCTCTCTGCCGAGCAAAGACGTCACCGAGGTAAACATCAGAACATTTGTTGTTAAGTTAATGAAAAGATGTTCACAGTGGAGAGAAGTTTTTATATGCCTTTGTTGTTGTTTGTTGTTGTTGCAGGTCAATTTTGTAAAAGAGGGATGTGGAAGTGATCATATTTGTAGAAGTAACCTGAAGATGGATTACCAATTATACTACAAACCAAACAGCCAAGACGCATACACCCCGTTACCCATGTGAGTTCTGACATTTCAACTTTAAGTTAAAAAAGTGATCTTAAAGTATCATTCATTGATTATATCTGCATTAAATAATGTTAATAAAGTCCGTTTTAATGTTTGAAACCTACCATAAGGCTGTTTGTTCCCATAAATCTCAACCTGTGAATGGTGTGTTTGTGTATTTGCAGCAAGAGAAACATCCCCGTGTTTCATCTGAGTTATGACAGGAAGGACTTGGCTCTGCAGGTGACAGTCAGCAACATGAATGGAGACGATGCTTATGAGGCCAAGCTGGTCGGGACTTTCCGAGATACGCTGTCATATTCTGGAGTCCGCTCAAATCAAACACCGGTAAACAAGACTAGAAGTGTACAGCCACACTAGTGACCCCCTGTGGATGTAAAACTGCGTACACATAAACTTTATTTCGTTCATTCTAGTGTCTTTCATCTGTGCTGAAGCTCAGCTGTGCTTTGAGCGTCATTACCATGCTAACATGCTATGAGTTAGCATTGGGTCTGTGCTCTTTCTTGATACTAGTGTCAATACGATACCCAGGTTTCCCTTAAATACCAATACCAGAACAATACTTATTTACGATACCTTTGACAAAAATGTTGTTGTTCGACCATCTTATCGAATGTTAAATGTTGCTGCTGTACTTTTCCAAATTAGTGCCCATTTTATCTCTAAAAGTTTTGATTTAAGTAGGAACTGTCAGATAAAGTAACAATCAGTCCCTCCAGGAATTTGCGAGGTTGGGCTCGCACCAGTTAACTCAAATTCAACTAATCAATGTTAATTCTGTGTGACTTTACAATTTTGTCAGATCTCTGCAACTTATGCACAAATTTTAAATAATTCTTGTAGTTTCCTGCAAGTTTCTCCAATCATAGCAATCCCCCGACTACTACTAGAAATGTTAATCTCACTGGAACAAATTGCCTACAAAAACATGCCCAAGAAAATTACAATATGCATCGCAATTTTTTTGGAAATCTGCCATGAAATCAGGTATTTTAGGCTGCAACTATCCCCCAAAAATGAACTGATGAATGTATCTGTCAATAGGAACTTTTAATACTTAAATGTTCTCAATACTCAGTGCTATAGACAGATTTTGGCATTACCACACCAACTAAAATACCACTGACATAAAGAAATGCCAGAACTACTGTATATTCTGATTTTGGATTTGTAGTTTAATAACCATCCAATGTGTTTTCTTCCATATTGAAAAGCCGATCATCTTTACCGCCAATCAGAACGGCTCTCAAGCAGAGTGCGAGCTGGGGAATCCTTTTAAGAGAGACTCAAAGGTACGGACTTATCGTAAGTCTCACATGTTCATCCTGACAATCAGCTGTTGTGCTTCAAATGTGAGAGACGTTTTTTCCTTTTTTTGCACCAGACTACGTTTTACATCATCCTCAACACTGTGGATATCAATCCTACCACCACCACGGAGATTGACATTGACCTGCAGCTCCAAACGTAAGTGCTGCTGCTACAGCTGCATCGTGTTCTGTCACATTCTGCAAATATAAGGGAATATATAAAAGAATAAAAGTATTTTACTTTACTTTTCAGGACAAGTGAGCAAGAAAATACTGCCCCTGTTAAAATAAAGGCTAAAGTAATCATTGAATTGCCATTGTCGGTCACTGGGTAAGTGTGTTAAACCGTTGTTTGACTACAGATAAATACTCAGTGCTTCCAACAGTATGTGAAATATACATTTTTATTTGTTTTCATCAGGGAAGCCAAACCTAATCAGGTTTCTTTTGGAGGCGTTGTGAAAGGTGAAAGTGCCATGAAGACAGAAGACGAGATTGGAAGTTTGATTACCTATACATTCAGAGTAGGTTTACTCGCCTGTTTCTCTTTATGATTATTAAATCACAGTCTTAGTATATAAAATAACCAAGTTGTGTCATTTTCCCCTCAGATAAACAACTCGTGGAAGTCTTCTGTCACAGCCTCACTACATATTAAGTGGCCCAAATGGAACAAAGATGGGAAATGGCTTCTGTACCTGGTGAAGGTCACTGCTTCAGGACCGCAGGACATCCTTTGCTCTCCTGAGTCTGAAATCAACTCTCTCAAACACATCCAGGTAGTATTTTTAAACCTTTATTTCCTATACTTCAGCATTTGCCAGAAGTCAGGCAGAGCAAATCTGAACTGTGAATTAATGAGAAGAAATGAACTTTCAGGAATCTTCTGCGTCCAGGACCAAACGTGAGATTGGAGAAAGAAAAACTGTTGTCAGAAAGTCTTTGCTGTCCGGCAAAAATAAAGTTTTGGTGAGTCTTTGTATGGATGCATTCACATTCATTTATAAAGGGATGTATTGCTTTGATGTGTGATAGACTCTTTCCTTCCTAGACATGTGACGGAGACATCAAATGTGTGGTGCTCAAGTGCCCCCTACAGGGCCTGGACGGTACAGTAGTTGAACTGAGATCTCGTCTCTGGAACTCAACCTTTATTGAGGTAACACATTGTGCTTTCATTGTTTCCACGTGTCTCATCGGTGGGATTCATGGGTCTTACCTGAGCAACTGTCTTTCTTTCCACACAGGATTATGCCTCTCTCTCACACTTGTTGATTGTTGTGAGGGCCTCGCTCGTCCTTCATACTCAGGCTAAAAACATAATCCTGAAAACCCCTGACACTGATGTAAGTAGCTGCAACAACTGATTAACTGTTTACTGTGTTGATCCGAACTCACCTGATCTCTTGGTTTCCCTCACAGGTGACAGTGACGGTGTCCCCAGAAAGTGCAGTAGCACAGCACGGTGGAGTTCCCTGGTGGATCATACTGGTGGCCGTTCTCGCAGGAGTCTTGATTTTGGCTTTGTTGGTGTTTCTGCTCTGGAAGGTGAGTACAGGGAGGTTACGTCTTCATGTCACCCTATGTTTGGTAATGTAGGATGAAAATAGAACATGAACTTCATTCAGCCGTTTGAGGAAATCAGGTCAGAAAAGATGAAGTCTGTGAACAGTACAAAAGTTGTAAAAGAAAACAACTTGAAGAAAAGATTTTCTTGTTCGCTAGTTTTTATTTGCTGGTTACAGATTTGAAAAAAAATTAGGATGGTTTCATATTATTGTGAATAGCTTTTTATTTTTTGGGGGGCTGTCAAAATAGACATTTTGAAGGCCTGACCTCGGGCTGTGGCAGCCATTATTCTGACGTATATAGGCTTTCTTACACTAATGTGATTCATTGGAAATTTAAAAAATAGGACATCAGTCAACAAGTCAACAAAAGTTGTAGAAGCTGTACTTGTGATTTTACATTATACTATATAATACAAAATATAGTTAGAACAAATACAAAAGGTAAAGTAAATGAACAGATGCTTTGTTCATAATTCATACTGTATAAAAATAAACTGCATTTTAATGGTGTTGTAACTGTATATATATGTGTGTGTATATATATATATATATATATATATATATATATATATATATATATACATATATAAAATCATATATATATGATTTTATATAACATATTCATATACACCGGTCGGGGAAAGAAAAGGCTGGAAACTTGGGAATTCGACCCACATACATTTTAAAAATGTATAATGCTATGTCATGGTATTTAAAGGAATGGTTCAGTCTTGACATTTGAGGAAATATGCTTCTTTGCTGAGAGATAAATAAGATCAACACCACTTACTACCACTCTGATGTCTGTACTTTAAATATGAAGCTAAAGGACAGGCCTCCTAAAACCTGCCTAACATCCCCTCTACAGCTCACAAATTAACACTTTGTTTAATATTTACTTTGCCATTTTATGCAGTTATGTTCTAGATAACTTTGTGGCTCTGTATTAAGACTGGTGTTAATCTTCTTCTAACGACAGAAAGTGAATAAGTGTCAAACTGTATTCCTTAAAAATCCCCAAAAACAGAAAGTATTTATAGTTGCTTATGAGATTCAAATAATTATGACCTTCCATATAAACCTGCTAACAAGTGACTGTAATGTATATAAATTAATTCAGGTCATTATTGTGTGAAATATAATCAAGAGATATGTGGTGATAAATATGAGAACTGGGTTAATATAATGTGACATTTGAGCACCAACACTAATTATGAGTGTAACAGTGTAATGAAATCCATTAATACTGACTCCGTTTGTCACTCTTAACACTTCATCACCCTTGCTCCCCCCTCCCTCCATTCAGTGTGGTTTCTTCAAGAGAGCAACAAAAGACCAATACGATGCTGCATATCACAAGGCAGAGATCCATGTTCAGCCCTCTGACAAAGACAAACTCTCTGCTGAGGCCTGATTTATACTCTCTGAACAGGGGTAAAAAACAAGCTGTCAGCATGGAGTGTGATTACTTCGCTGACTAATGAACTCACTTTTCCAGCCAAATCAGCTGACTTAATGCAGAAAAATTCAATCAGACACATATTGTACTGAGCGGATGAAGGAACATTTGACGTTATATTAAAAAACGTTTTAGCCTAAATTTAACATCGACACCGTTCTCTGTGTAAGAGTTGGAAGTTTCTGGTATTTGTACAATATGTGTCTCTGAATTTTGCCAAGAAATCAGTGCATTTTCTCACCAACAGGCTTAATGTTTCCCTCTTTAAAACAACAACTGTTCTGTGCTCTGCAGGTGCTTCTGCTCACATCTCTTTTACTGCTTGGCTGTTTTGAAAACTGCAAAGCATGCTTCACATTCCTGCACATCTCTCCTCGGTTGTTTACAGCGTGCATGAATATCTGCTCACATTTCTTGCTTATTTAAAAAAAATAAAATAAATGCTTCTCCTTTCCCAGTGCGGATTCTTCAAACGCTCCAAGAGAGAGGACAGCGTCCCTCGTTACCACGCGGTGCGGATAAGGAAGGAAACTCCTGAGTATAAAGACGGGAACGTCAAGCTCGATCCTCTTGAAAAAAAGCAGTGGATGACAACTTGGGTTGACAATGAAAGCTACTCGTGAACACACTGAACTTTTTTTTTTTTTTTGTTCATTAGGGGATTAAAATGAATTTTTAAATGAAATTGTAGATAAAGCTTTTCAGGAATTAGTCGGGTTCATGTCTTTGAATTTGGTTTTACACTGTATAGACGATGAAATGTTGTAAGTTTTGTATATATTTAAATACTTCTGCACACTGTATATTTATTTTTTGATAAAAAATAATTTCATGCAGCCAAAGAGTCTGGCGTCTGTCCTGAAGCAGATCTACGAAGGGCAAAGTTTACTACTGTTTCTCTGGAGTTGTACTGTCTTACTAAAAGCCTAAAAGTCTATGCAAGGAAGGTACAGCCAGCTCTGTGTAATATGAATGTCAATCAGTGCATTTGTTGTTGTTTTATGTCCAGTTTCCATAAAAAAAAAAAAAAAAAGACATTTAGGTACATTATCACAATAATTCAAGGTGTAAAAAACCACGACTGAGTTTCTTCTTCACCTCTTCTCACTACTGCGGTGTTCAGGTAGCATCCACTGTACTGTAGGTCACCGCTGACGATAGACCAACTGTTTCTGTTACATGTGAGGAGTCCAAAGGGAAGATGGTGGAAAAGCAACTGAAATGTATGTTTAATAGATTTGATTCGAAGTGAATGTGTAATACGTGTTGAACTGTCAAATATAATAAAAACGCTTAAAAAACTGAATTCTTACTGTGCAGTTTCATTAACATCAAGTTATCTTACATAAAAGAAAATATTTTATAGAATATATTTTTCTATTATATCTTATTTTTGTGATTCTTTATTGTTCTTTTACACTAATGTTCTTTCTGCACTTCATTCCCCTGGGCTGCTGTGTCTGATTGTAATTTCTCCTTCAAGGGATCAATAAAGGAACATTTTATATTAAATTCACTGTCACATAAGACAAAGAATAGCAGCAAATCTTCCCAACAGAGCAGTTATTATAGTTTACAGAGCACTCGTCTTGTTTACAAAGGGTTTGTTTTAGTTTAGACTTTATTAGTTTCATCTTTTTATTATTATATGGGGACTATTTACCAGAAGAGGTATTACAATACAAAGATATTGACTCAAAACCAACACCCAATACCTCCTGTTTATTTTGATCAATTTGACCAAATTGACAAAATAAAAATAAAGAAATTTCCTGTATATTTTTAGTTTTGCAAATAAAAAATATTGTTTCAGATCATTTTTGTCAAGTTTTTAATTTTTATTTCAGTTTATTTACTAGTTTTAGTTTAGTTTGGTAATAAAGTGCGTCTGAAAAGCTGGAATTGGCTCATTTTTAACTAGGAAATAATTAAATGATCAGTCGAATATCGGACTAGTTGATTCCCTGTCAATCAACTAATCAATGATTTCAGCTCCGTATAAAAGTAAAAACTAATATTAAAATAATAGAACAGTCTTACTCAAGAGATTTATTTAATCATACTATTATAGAACAAGCAAAGGATTTACATGGGAACAGATCACCATTCATTCTCTACTCTATATAAAAGCCATTAAATTGAAAATATCACTCTTTATGAAACCCTAACAGCTGGGGGGGGGGGGCAACTCAACAGGAGTTGTGATGAATGTATCCAAAACATCTGGAGCGTTTCACAGACGTCCCGCCTTCTGACTACTGGAACCAAAAAACCCTAAATCCAAAGTTAGCATTATGTGAATATACATGGGAGTGTTATTTATTCCAGATCAGTCAATCAGTCAAACGTTAAGCGAAAGGTTTTCTCCTGCTCTTTGCGCTGGTTGTCACACAATTTGGACACTTCCTCGACTCTCCTCTGCAGAAGAACCGAGTTCTGATCGATCCACTGAAGTGAATCCATGTGGGTGTTGAGGATTTTACAGATCTGCTGAAGCTGAGATGGAAAAGAAAGAAAGAAAGAAAGAAAGAAAGCTGTTTAATTACAATAAAAGCACCAAAAATGTGTGAAGGGAGGTTTAACTGAAGGTCTAATCTTACCGGGTCACTGGTATCTGCTGGGCCGCTGGACGTGTTCAGGTGCTCGATGATCTCCTTCAGGTCCTGTGACATCCTCTTCAGCTGCGCGTCCACGTTCTCAGCGAGCTTGTACGTTCTCTCGCGTTCCTCGTCGGCGTTCTGCATGTAGATGGTTCCACTTTGCTCTTTCACAGACTCCTCAAGCGGGCAGAGCAAGTCCTCCAGCTCCTTCTGTTGGGACAGGATGAAATCCAGCTCCTGGTTTAGCCTCCTCTGGTCCAGCTTCACCTTCTCCATCTCCTTGTGCAGGCACGTGATCTTCTCGCCATTCTCCACCAGCATGCGGTCCCAGGCGTTCACCTGAGTCGCCTGCTGTAAGAAATGTCTCTCCTGGTCCTCAAGCTCAAGACTCCACTTGTTAATGAGACCCTCCAGCTGGGCGTAGGTCATCACTGGAGGAGCAGCGGTTGCAGTGATTGTTGTGGCTGTAGCAGTTGCCGTGGTACCTGCACTGGATGCAGGTCTGAGCCCCAGGGTGAAGCCGGTAGCGATGCCTGTAGCAATGCCTGTTGTGGCAGCTGCAGTTGTGGCAGCGGCGGCAGGGGCAGGGGCAGAGGTGGTGGTAGCTGCCCCCAGGGGTTTGAGCATAAAGGACGGACCTCCAGCAGCTGCTGTGGTTGTTGCAGCGATGGTGCTCGCAGTTAAAGCTGCACCCAGAGTAAAGCCTGTACCTGTTGCAGGGGCAGTAGTGGGAGCAGTAGCTGAAACGATGGGTGAAGCGAAGAGAGACGGGCCTGAAGCTGGGGCTGCTTGGGTGGATGCAGGAGGAGCCGGGGTTGATGAGGGTTTAATCCCGAAGGAAAATCCTCCTCCCTGACCTGCTGTGGCAGCAATGGTGGAGGCTGGCTGGGGCTGGCTGCCCAAGGTGAGGTTGGAGGGAGCACTGGTGCCAAAGCTGAAGCCCCCTCCTGGGGCAGCAGCAGCAGCAGCAGGGGGGGCAGCAGTGGTCACCTGGACTTTAGTTGACCCAAAGCTGAACCCTCCGAAGGAGAGACCTGATCCTGTTGATGCTGCTGCAGCTGCCGCTGCTGCTGTTGCTGCAGATGTTGCTGCTGCTGTTGCGGCTGGTGGTGGTGCTGCTGCTGGTTGGGGTTGAGTTTGAGGCACAGTCCCAAAGGAGAATCCCCCACCTCCAGGGGCAGCAGCGGTGGTCTGTGCAGACATACCCATGAGACCGAACCCTGACCCCGCACCTGGAGCTGCTGGGGGGCCTAAAGCCAGCCCTGCTGTTGCTGCTGTGGTCTGAGGAGCCGTGCCCATGCCAAATGCGGTGGTGGCGGCGGCCGGGGTCCCGAAGGAGAAGCCCCCGCCGGCTGCTGTGCTCTTTGCTGGGGTGCCAAAGCTGAAGGAGCCGGCTGGGTTGGGGGCGGCCTGAGGGGCAGTGCCGAAGGAGAAGCCCCCTCCGGAAGCTGCAGGTGTTGAACTTTGCATCCCAAAGCCGGTCGCGGTGCCGGTGCCGGTGCCGGTGACTGCGGCTGTGGCCTTCTGAGCTCCGAAAGAGAAACCCGTGGAGGCCTGCCCGAAGTTAAATCCGCCGCTCATTTTAAATAAAAAACGTTACTGGAAACAGCTCGCGGACAAAATGGTCACTTCCTCGCAGAAACCTCTGCGTGGTTTTTGGCGGGTCCCGAGAACGGGTCGGTTCAACTGCCGTTACCGAGGAAACGAGTCTCTCTCCTGCGATCGCTTTGGAGAACTTATCGGTTTATAACGTCTATCACAGGTTTGTTAACGTTACCTCGACCCAGACGGCGACCGAAAACTAACAACACATCCTTCAACGAAACGTGGCCCGCTGCTTTCACGTCCTCACGCAGGCATCTCTGTGGTCGACTACAGGAAGTGACGGCAGTTAGTTAGGACCGGAGAAAAGGGGATGCTCGCCCTGAGTTCAGTCTGCCAGCACACAAGTCCCGCCTCTATTCTAAGATTGACAGATCCAATGACCAATCACAACCCAGGGTTTAACTTCCTGCCTGAAAGACAGAACGCAGGGATTAAAAGACGTTCCATTACCAAAGAGCAATGAGTTTATGTACGAACCAACGGCCAACTGCTACCAACTGATTCAAAAATAACTGAAACGGAGTGTTTTTATTTTTATTTTTATTTTTATTTTTATAGTTACGATGACAAATATTATAATAACGTTTTAAGATACCTTCTGTCACAGTGGCAAGGAGAAAGCAAAAGACTACCACTAACAAATCGAACCGTAAAAGCCGAGATGTTTACGAAATGATCGATTACGTCGTAAATTAACTTAACAACACAAAGATATATTTAATTTTAAATATTGTGTTTTTAACTGCTACATTTTCAATTCACAAATGTAATTTTGCTAAAACAACTCATGTTGACTGTAAACAACATGTAATTAAATTTTTTTAAAACATAACATTTTTTTTTTAAATTAAAAATAATACTTTTTTAAAAATATTTTTTAAACGCCTTTGTTATCTACACATATACGCTAAGAAGCTACTTTTGCTATACTATGACAAATAAAAAGTGAAAGCATATTTTGATCAATAAAGGTTTTTTTTTTTTTTTTTTAACAAAGTCGAAAAGCGCTTAGGTTTGTTATCTTGACATCGTAACGACTCTCTGGAGGACCTGGCTCGCCGCACACTGACGCTCTTCTGCCCATGTTGACAACAAGACCTCAGATATGACAAGTTAAAAGTAAAAAGGTTTTAGATTTAGACACATTATACAGTCGCGGAGACGATGGATGCACAAACTTCTACCGGCCCACTTAATGACAGATCGTTAATTTCACGCGTGTGTTTATGAGCTGCTGAAGTTAGCGTGGAAGCTAATGTCAACACAGATTAAAGCTATCTGTAACGTCAGCTGTGTGATCGATCAGTCCTATAAAGGAGCATTTTACTATCTGTGACAGCCACTGAGCAGAGAGCCAGCATGAGGATCCTACGGTTTCTGAGGAGCAGCGTGTCCATCGGGAAGGACATCGACTATTATTCCAAATTCTCCCCCTCCCCTCTTTCAATGAAGCAGTTTCTGGATTTTGGTAAGAGGATGCACACACACACACACACACACACACACACACACACACACACACACACACACACATATATATTCAAATAATGGATCTCTTTTCATTAACAAAAAGTCAAGGTTTTGCAGAAAAAAAAATCGTTTTTAAACAATCCCACCCTGGTAATCATATGTGGTGCTTTATCTTTATTGAACACAAATTGCACATGTCTGAATATCAGGGAGATATTAACTCAATATCAGGTAAAAAAAGATATATGCAGGAGCCTCCTTTTGTATTGTGTTCAGTGGTTCATGTTACAAACAAACTTCATCAGACTACCACAGACTTTTAAAGGGTGTAATCCAACTTTAAAAAAATATACGTTTTGTTCATTTCTGTGCAGAAAACTATATGAAATTGTTATTTTTAAAGTTTAGATTATTATTTAAGATCTCCATGTTGAAGACCTGAACAGTCTGTAGCCTTCACTCTGATAAACAGCCTCATCCTGCATTAGAAAGCTACGCAGTTAAAATAACCAAAGAGCTAATAGAACAATAAGAAACTGCACAATACTGATAGAATAATATGAAAAGTCTCTAAAATGATCATGAAAACTCATCTCTGATGTTATATTCACAGTAAATAATCTGCTCTGATTCATCCAAATTATAATTAAACACAAACTTCCTGCAGTTATTGTGTCACTATCTGGGTTCATTGCACAGTTTATCCGTAGTTCTGTACTCTTATTGTTATTTATTGACTAGAATATGAAATACCCATAAACAGGAACTGTTGATGTAGATGTTGATGTAGAAACTCTTTTATAGCTTAAATAACCAAACATGAAATGTCTGTTTTTGGATTATCCAGCAGATAAAATACTTGACAAATCGCGGTTCTGCTTTACTGTCGCACAAGAACACAAAAATAATGTTTCTCTCCTTTAGCAGCATCCCTGTCTGTTTTAAACATAACAATGTGATTTGTTATATCTTTGTTTACACCTTCAGGTTCAGAAAATGCATGTGAGAAAACATCATTCGCCTTCCTCAGACAGGAGTTACCTGTGAGGTTGGCAAACATCATGAAAGAGATCAACTTGTTGCCCGACAACCTACTGAGGACCCCCTCCGTCCGCTTGGTCCAGGGCTGGTATGCAGCTTTTTCTCTCAGATTACACCGATGGCTGCAAATAGATGATAGTGATCATTCTTTCCCCCACACGCAGGTACATGCAGAGTCTTCAGGAGATTCTCAAGTTCAAAGACAAAAACGCAGACGATGAGAAAGTCACATATGAGTAAGTAAATTAAAACGATTTAAATAGTTCAACTTTATTTCTTTCTGTTCGTGTTGGTTTTATTTTGTACGTCTTTTATTCAGTTTCACAGACGCTGTTATAAAGATCAGGAATCGGCACAACGACGTCATTCCCACCATGGCTCAGGGAGTCGTGGAGTACAAGGAGACCTACGGCACGGATCCCATCGTCAGCCAAAATGTTCAGTATTTCCTGGATCGTTTCTACATGAGCAGGATCTCCATCAGGATGCTGCTCAACCAGCACAGTGAGTAATCTGCTTTATTAAAGTCAACACAGCAGCAGAGGGAACATTTGGTGACGATATTTGAGTGTAGATTGGACTCAGAGAGCCGATCTGCTCCATTAAGCAGGCAAACTGGAGGCCGACCTGTCTGAACACCGCCCTGGTAGCCATCTTTCTTCAGTGTGTAATCCTTTAACGTCACAGCCACAGTGAACCAGGACTCAACAAACCACAGCCCAAAGACATTTCCTGACGTTGCCAAGTTCATTTTTGAAATGAACTTGAAATGTTTTGTACCTTATCTGCACCTCCGAATTGTTTATTTAAGACCTTAAAGGGAAAGTTAGTTGCACAAATATTACTTTGTATTGGAAAAAGATCAGTTAGCATCTTTTTATAGTCTATTTTAGGGATTTAATTATTATTATAATTATTATTTAATGTATTAATTTAAGTGTTTACTCTGTATGAAGATAAAAACCACCGTTGTGTATATTTGTATGTATGTATATAGCTAACTGTATATACTGGTTTATTTGATGTTATTCTACTATTAATTGAATTATCTTTTTCTGTGTGTAGCATTAAGGAACTGCAAGCTTTAATTTAGTTGTGCAATCTTCTTTTGTGTGTAATGATATGAGCACATTTCCTTGAGTTTACTGACGTTACAGGAAAAGAGCAGCACAGTTATGTTTAAAAGAGGAACAGTTCCTGCTGTACACCTGAATCAGATAAAACCTGTTTTCCTGCTGTTCATAACAGGGAGGACACACGAGGAACGTATGAGGACGTAATGATAAAAGAAAACAGTGAAAGGAAGTACAGAAACAACATTCACAGGGTCACAGGGTTAGATAATAAATCAAAAGGTTGACACTTTGTGATATAAAGATTCAACAATATGGAGTTACATGATCTCCGCTTTGGTCCAATATTTACTGAACTACATTATATAAGGATATTATAATTAGTTAGTTTGCTTTACCACGCATGGACAATCATACAGAGCTACATAAATAATGTTTATAGTTTATACTGTTAATAACATTGATGTATTGTTGTCTGGCAACAGTATTGTTATTTATTTGGATGTTATTTACATAAACAAAACAATTTATAAGACAAAGACTGTAAGAATAACTGGAGAGAACTTTAAAATGTATAGATAATATTGGCAGCAGGATACAAAGTTCAACATCACAGAGACAATCTCCAGTTGTGTTTTAAGTCTGATTTATTATTTAAAACCTTACAGGTTCTCTTTGTACTTCCTTTCTAGTACTAATATACATTGTTTTTTACTCCTGAGGTTCATTTAAAAGCCCCATTACTCTGAGTAATTTCAGGCTGTCCCAGATAGAAGTTGACAATCGTGACGAAGACTTTGATTGTCCTACATCACGCTGTGAAATGTTTCCACCAACAGCCGGTTGAGAGCTTTTCTGGCCAAACACAGCTTGTGTCAAAATTCTGCCAAAACTTGTAGCACTTAAAATCTCACAGTCCGCTGTGACCTCGGTCTGTAAACAGAGCCGTTTGAGAGCTGTGGCTGAAATCTTGTTTTTGCTTTTTGTTGCATTTTCAAAACACAAGAGCAAGATGAGTTGGTTAATGAAGTTGGTCATATGTTTGATTAGTCAACTATTGGATATGATTCATTGTTTAACTTGTTGTTTTACTGCAAAAATGCCACAAACGACCTGTTTCAGGTTCTCAGTTGTGAACATTTCCTGCTTTTCTTTGTCTTATTTGATATTAAAATGAATATATTTTCACCATTATGTGACATTTTATAGACAAAACAGTTAATTCATTAATTATTTGAGAGGGAAATCTCTCAAATAAGTGAGTCTATTGTAGTGTGTTTATCTTTTAAATAATGTGCACAGTCGTACATGGTCTCATCCCTGTGTGTGTTTTTATTCCAGCCCTCCTCTTCGGCGGGAAGGTGAAGGTGAACCCAGCTCATCCCAAACAGATCGGCAGTATTGATCCGCACTGTCGTGTCAGTGAGGTTATCAGAGGTGAGGGTGTCACAAACATTACACGGGGAACACGCTGTGACAGTGACAGTATTCAAGTGTCATTTCTGTTCTTTTCCTGAAAACAAATTTCTTCCTCGTAGACGCCTACGAAAACGCACGAAACCTTTGTGACCGGTACTACATGAACTCTCCCGAGCTGGTGCTGGAGGAATTCAACGGTAATCCGATCGGATGTTTGTCTAAAGATACAGTGACACACACACTTTTGTCCTTCTGTCTGGTTCTCATTAAGCACTTTAAACTGTAGCGTTAAAGGACCAGTGTTTAGGATTTAGTGACATCTAGTGGTGAAGTTGCAGATTGCAACCAACTGAACACTGCTGGTGTGAAGTGTGAAGCAGAAACTACACTGGCTGCACTACAGCCAGTGTTTGGTTTGTCCCTTCTGGGCTACTGTAGAAACATGGCGGTCTCCATGGAAGGCGACCTGTGGTATCTGTAGATAAAAATGTCTCATTCTAAGGTAACAAAAACACAACAGTTCCTATATTCAGGTGATTATACACTAATGAAAATGCCAATAGATCCTCCTAAATGTTTCACACTGGACCTTTTTATGAATAAATACATATAACTGATATCTGATCGAAGTCCCTCTAACCTGTGATCATCTGTTTATCCTGACAGTCAAAGAGCAGGGAAAATCCGCCACCGTGGTCTATGTCCCATCTCATCTGTATCATATGGTGTTTGAACTTTTTAAGGTAGGATTTACCTTTTGAACTCTTAACTGGTTCCCATGATGCAGTTTTCTATCTTCTCATCCCGCCTTCCTCTCCTGTTAAACGCTTTGATTGTTGCAGAACGCCATGCGGGCCACCATGGAGTTATACGGCGATGCCATGGAGTATCCTTCCATCCATGCACAGGTGGCTCTGGGACCTGAAGATCTGACGGTCAAGGTAAAGCCGCTCTGCTCTGTGGTCTGTACAGTTCGTGGCAGTCAGGTGAGTTACTGCGTGAGGAAGACTGTTCACAGCGTATGTTCTTCTCCAGGTGAGTGACCGAGGAGGAGGCGTGCCGCTGCGCAAGATCGACCGCTTGTTCACCTACACGTACTCCACAGCTCCTCGACCCAGCATCGACGGGTCCCGTGCTGCTCCTCTGGTCAGTACTTCTGATGTGTGATCAATAGTGTGTGATCAATAGTGTCTGAACTCGTGGTTATCGACTTATCCATTAACACTAGAACAGAAATAGAAACAGAAAAGTTCAAAACAAATAATTACAACACTTCGATAGTGCTTCCAGAGCTTTCAACTGTATCACAAGGTCTTCTTACTGTAACACTGCTTTAAAGAGAGATCCTGGTGCCCCTTTAATATGTTTACAGCATAAATAATCAGTTATGTGTTATGAACTTGCTCCAGTGCCCGTCTAACTGCTCTGTTGTTTTAGATTTTGGGGTTTTGTGGGTGGAGAAATTAACTTGCTTTCTTTTTTCCAGGCCGGTTACGGGTACGGTCTGCCCATCTCTCGGCTGTACGCCCGGTACTTCCAAGGGGACCTGAAGCTGTACTCTCTGGAGGGTTATGGAACTGACGCTGTGATCTACATCCGGGTAAGTTTTACATTAACTGTGTGTGTGTGTGTGTGTGTGTGTGTGTGTGTGTGTGTGTGTGTGTGTGTGTGTGTGTGTGTGTGTGTGTGTGTGTGTGTGTGTGTGTGTGTGTGTGTGTGTGTGTGTGTGTGTGTGTGTGTGTGTGTGTGTGTGTGTGTGTGTGTCTCTCTCTCACACACACAAAGGGAGACTGTATTCGTGAGTTACATCCATGTTTTAACTTTACTCTCTCGACCCTCCGTCAGGCACTCTCCACAGAGTCCATCGAGAGGCTCCCTGTGTACAACAAGTCGGTCTGGAAGCACTACAAGACGATGCACGAGGCCGACGACTGGTGCGTCCCCAGCAAGGAGCCCAAGGACATGACGACATATCGCAGTTTCTAGTCCCTGTAGCGACGTGTGCAAGAGACGACAGGTGTGTGTGTGTGTGTGTGTGTGTGTGTGTGTGCGATGTTGATAATTTCAGATTTATTTGTACAGAAAGTAACAACATATGTTTTAGTGCCATATAGAACAACATTTTATTTAGGAGAGAAGCAGCTAACAAAAATACTTTTCCCACTGGCACTTATTAATGGTAATGACTGGGATCAGCTGTCTGAAGAGACACAAAGCTCAACCACTACTGGAGTTTTGAGGCTGATACTATTATTGAATAGCACAAGCCTTTTTTTAACAACATCAGGTAACAAACATTTTTCATTAAGGATCCATTAAATATGGTTGTTGAAGAATTGGGATGATATCATGAGCTGAAATATGTGTCACTGCTCTCTGATGGACAAACCAGGTAAATGTGTCACTGTTTCTAAATTACCTCAAACATATTTCTTGACATTTCTGTAGTGAAAATTGTTATTTATCAACTATATCAAATTATTTAAAAATAAATAAAAAACATTATGCATTGAGAGGAACAAAACATGTAGGTCTCAGTATGTCTGCCTGAAACGTCCTGTGTGGTTCGATGCCAGCGAGGCTCAGGAAAAATGTTTTTGTAATTTGGTTGAACTCTTTAATGTATGAACCGTGTTTGTGTCGACAAATTGTCTTCAGTTTGTTCTGCTGGTTTTACGGCTTTTCCCTGAATCGCTTAGCGGCTTTTTCTTTTTTTTTTGAACAGTTAATCTGTGTGTAGATAGTTCATCTCTTGTGCTCCATGTGAAGTTTAAAACTTTGTCAGGAGAACTTGTTACACAATTAGTTGCTGCTATATATGCTGCTTGGTTTTATTTTAAATCTGTTGGAAAGTGTTTGGTTAAAATGTTTAAATTTAGGGCATTTCTTCTTCAGTTGGATACATTCAACGTGATCAAAAAAGTAGTGATGGGTTTGCAACATACTTTTCTTTTTAAACTCAACAAAATGCATCTTATTTTTTTCTCACAAGTCGTCACTTACAGTCAGTTACAGTATAAGACTAAGTGTTAAATAAGCTAAAATTAATATTTTCCATGTTACACTAAAGCAGTTATGCTGTATGGATCATGTTCTGTAAAACAAAAATAAACAATTCAAACGTTCTTATGTGTCGACGATCTCTTATTGTAAGTAAAGGTGGAAACTGATGAGTTCTTTGTGTTACTGTACTTATGATCAGATTTCTGCCCCAGGTTTGGTTTAAAGATCAATACAGTTAAAAAGATTTATAGCATTGATATAAAATCATTATTACTGTGAGAATGTTACAGTATGTATCCAGAGTTATGAATCATTGGAGGAAATGTTTAAATACATTTTTACAACTGAGGGTCCATATCAGGAAAAAAGCCTAAGAGTATAATGCAATGAAAACACCAAAAACAAGCCGCAGCATCAAAGAAATTGACACACTGAGTCAACATCCAACATGTCAACAATTTAATTTATTACAGGATTGCTGTGTAGGATTGTTATTCCTCTACTAATGTATCAATATATAAAAACCTGTCAGTTTACAGCCATCTGGTGCTCACTGTAAACTCAAGTTAACCGAAGCAAGGAGGAAGCAAACATGTCACATAAAGTAAAAATTTGTTTATTGATGTTTTATGTACCAAGAAATGTTTCTCTGATTCAGAAGATGTGGAAACTTGATTTTCTTGCAGTCCCAACATGTCGTATTCTATACAGAACATGAAGTCATGCTTGAAGAGAGGAAGAGAGGAAGCACTTCGGTTTTGGCTGCGAAGAACTCATCGTTCAGCCTCACATTCATACACGACAGCGCTGTGCTCCCGACTCACACAAGTCCTTGTCGTTGGCACGTCTCACCGCCTAACGGACCGGTGAGGTGTACATGTAGCAGACCTGCGTGCTGCGTCTCGGTACCACATCAGCGACACACAGCCAGAGTCCGGGGACAGCAGAAGCAGCATTCACCTTGTCCCTACTTGTTTGTTGCTTTTCATTCAGCAAAAACAACAACAGCCTAGCTATTCTACTTAGTAGAAAAATGTCGATAGTATAAAATGAACAATGGTATTTAAGTAAAAAAAAAAAAAGATATGCAGTTAATAGGCACATGTATAAAACTTATTTATACATTTAAAACCTTGTCGCCCATTGAAGTTTAAAAGACAAATATAGTGCTTTTATCTGTACAATAACCGTTCCTGTAAAAGAGTTGTACATGGGAACAAGCAAGTTATACTAGCAAAAATATAAAATGCAGAAAAAGCTGTATACATTTGACTTCCATAGGTAAATGTGTGCATGATCTGCAACAACTACATCAGAAAACAATTATAGCTTCTAGCTTTTTAGTGGTAAAAAATGTTAAGATTCCTTTTTGGTCACATACCCAACTCTTTTTGACATTCCCCATCTTTCATTTAAAAATGGTTTGAGCTGAAAATGTGTTAAAAATATTAAAGAGAAACAGTGATGAGAAAAGAAACAGGATGCTACAGTATGAACATAAATCATAACTAGCACCTCAGTCGGCACAGGTCCTCTCCTGGCAGTCACGCCCTCTGCCTGTTGGCATTAACACCATGTCACATGAACGTCATGGCACCAAAAGTGTATATATATATAAAAAAAAGGGGGGGGCTGCTCATGATCCTGCTACAGATGGACTTTAGGAGTTGTGCAGAGCTGCTACCTCAGCAGACAGAGTCAGCACTGACTGGGAGTCTCCCACTGCGTCGAACCTCCTTCTCCTTTTTCTCTCTCTGTTTCTCCAGCTTCTCCTGAGTCTTACGCATGTCCTTCAGCTTCTTCTTGATAGTTGAACGGTCGCTCTGACTCGACACGCCGAGTGCCTGAGGGGGAAAAAGTGCACAGATTTAAGGCAGAATAATGCTACTATACATCGTAAACATGTCAACAAATAAGGACCAAAGTAAGGCTGCAACTAATGAGTTTCATTATTAATTAATCCACTGAGTACACCAAACTAATTTATTTTACTGTAATATTAGCAAACTAAAGGGGGAAATATTTACATTTGAGAGGCTGGAGTCAGCAACATTTAGGCCTTTTTTCCAGGTGACAACTTGATTAATTAAAAACAAAGTTGAGGTGAAATAAGACTTAAAATTATTGGTGTGACGTTTTATAAACAAACATCAGGATTAATGTATAAGTGTTAGAAAGTTAATCAAGACAGAAACACTTTTCATCTGAAGAAAAAGTTTAAATCTGGTTGTAAACTATAATTTATTCTAATTAAAATCCAACTGTTGTGTAAGATGATCCTATTCTACAATTGTATAACAATATACAGTCTTGTCATCATCCCAATGTTATATTCCTGTCATAGCATTTTCTCTTATTCATGTCCTTAATATTATTTTCCCCTAAAATGTAGCTGAAATATAAAATATGGAAAATCATCTCTAGCTGCAACTGTCAACAGGAAAACATTCTTCTGGCCACAAGGTGGCAGTCAAAGGCTGACAAGACAATTTAATAGTATAGACTATAGACTTCTTTTGCAATGACAGAGGCTTTGTCAGATCAAAATAACAACATCACTCTTAAACTATCATTCCATAATTATACAGGTAATTCAAAGTTAATTATTATCATCAAGAGCTGGTTTTGTTTACCTTCAACTTGTCACTGTCCAAATACAAGAGCTGCTGGCCGTCCACTCCCTTAGCTGTGAACTCAGGTGTGTATTGGTCCATATTCATGCCCATCAACCAGTGACAGACCTGTTGATTGGTCCACTCAGAAACAGGCCGGTTCTGCCACTGGTACTCTTTTCCTGTAGCTACCGGTTCATCATCCAAAGTCTACAGAGGACACAGATAATGCACACAGATATTAGAAAAATGAACACAGCGTTGTTTGAGTAAGGACATTAATATTTTATTTGTTAGTTATTTCTGAATACTTCTGTGTAGGAATTTGAAAATCTGAGTGGGTTCAACTGTTTTGTATCATAAATGTTGCTCTACTGTAAAAGAAACAGATGACTCATGTCTAAAGCATGGCAAAAATAAATGATAAAGACTTGGTGTAGGGAGTTAAGTTAGGGAGGGGGGAGACTAGTGGACCAAAATACAAAAGTAAAACCTACAGTATGTATACAACAAACAAAAAGAACATGTACTGCAGCCTCTGTTCAACAAAGCTGAGCAGAGTACACATTTCCCAAGCTAGCACTTAAAAAAACACAAGCGTGCAATAACAACAAAATACCAACACATTCTCAGATGCAGATGTGTGTGTTCACACTGTGAAAACTAAGAGACACTTAAACTATAATATCAAAAAAAACAAACAGATGCTGAAACACCACTGAGCAGGCAGCAGAGCAGTCAACATTGTTCTGTGGTCTGCCAAAGCTTGTAAAGAACACGAAGCACTGGTTGACGGTTCTAACAGAGGCAAAAGTACAAACTATTAACATCACAGCTGACTTAAGAAAAGCTAAGCTGCAAGAGTTGTTTAAACAAAATAAAATAGCTTTAACACACACACACACACACACACATGCAGGTCTCTTCTATCCCCTCAGCATTCACAATTTAATCTCGGCTATGAAAAGGGGGGAGGCTCAAAGAGCATGCTTGAGAATGTCCCCTTTCAGCCGCATCAAGGCGTCCCACACAGCTTTTGTGACTGTGCAACAAGGAGAGCACTCACCTCGCTGGAAGAGAAGATTAAAGTGTGTGAGCGCCCAGACAGATTGGGTTCAGCAACTAACCCAGAGATGTCTGAACTGGGACTGGCAGGGCTAGAATCATCTATGACTGAAAAACTCTGGAACAAGTGGAAACAAGGAACGCATTTACTAGTCACACATCACCAAACAACAGTTCTGTACTAGGAGAAGCAAACAGACACAACACTACAGGTGTGAGGGGTTAAGTGCAGTGCTGTTTCCAAAAGGACTGGAATTATTATAATTGATTAAAACTGTGGCAGCAACCCAGGTCATTGATTTGAGCAATGAGTGACTGATCTTCAACATGTGAAAGGAAAGGTGAGTAAAGCTAAAATCAATCCACCACCAAAACTACATCGACAACTTCTAAACCAGAACAACTAACACTACTACTGCTAATGAAAGTAAACACACATTTCAGGTATGGGGTAATGTTTTCAGTTCAGTCGAGTAGATGCTACAAAGATTAACTATTTGGTGCTCATGTTTACATGTAGTTTTCAAAGTTAAACTGTGGCTTGTTTTTCCCAGGTAGGTTCAAATTTGAATAAAGGAAATGTTGTCCGGATCTGCAGGTTATGGCACCAGCTATGTGCAAGTTCATATGCAGTTTCATTTCAATGTAGTATGAGAATTAAGGTTGCACAATACAAGTTAGTTACAACATAGCAGTTAGTGTTTATACACACACATCTCTGATCAAACTTGCGATTAGCTGGTGCAACAAGCCCCTAGAAACTACGGCCTTCATGTGCTTCCTCTAATACAAGCCACAAGGCTCTCTGAATGAGGATAAAAGGAAAATTAGATGACATTGTTTTCACACTACCACATACCTACTACAAAAGAAGCAGTGAATTATTCATTCATTCACATGTTGTATGTATTGAGGTGAGAAATTACAAATAATCGCAGGACTACATGTGTTAGTAACGCTCTACTGTGTCATCTAAAAATCAAAAAGGTGAAACAAGAATGTGTATACTGTACCAAATCTAATGAGCGACTGAATAAAGAGGACCAGGAGAGATTTGTCTGTTTAAAGGAAACACGGTTCAGTGAGATAAATGTCCAGGCAGCAAAGCACTGACAAAAACGACAAAACCCAAACTGTTCTCTTGGTGATCATGCCATCGTGGTTCAGCTTGAGTCTTGAACTCATTAAACGGTATCGTGGGAACACAAGCCCAACCGCAGCCTGTGTGACAGTTAGCCAGGCGTTTCACTGGATGCGTTTGATGTGTCACTATTTGCAAACTCATTGAAAAGCCACCAAATCCTTCCCCGCTAGCTCTCTCTAATGGCTAACATATGGATCCAGTTATTGTAGCCTTTGCACGCTGTAGCTTATTTGGAGAACTGGTCAATGAAGGCGCGTGTCTAGAAACAGCCTCCCATTATGTGTCTACTAGTTTTACCCTTTCAGTGAGGACAGAAATATATTATGGTGATGGAGGATACAGGATGACTGCTTTACAATCTCATCTGTGTAGCACTATGCCTAATATCTTATTAATGTTGTGCTGGATACTAATACTCTCCATGTCCGATATCTATTTTCTAAGTCACATACCTTGTTCTTGCGATCCTGGCTTTGCTCACTGCTGGTCTCGGTTGCAGCGTACGGCAGACTGCTGCTGGAAGATGAGGGTTCTCTGTCTCTGTCCCTCTCTTTGTCTCCAAACCAGGAGAAGGGCATACAGGTAGGGATGGAGGTCATTGAATCTGCAGGAGAGAGGTTCCCTCCAGACTCCTCCAGTAACTCTGCCGATCCCCTAGGCACAGGCAAAAGAGGAAGAAACAGTTCTCCACATTCAGGCTTACAGTGTACTGCTTTAAAATGACTCAATGAGTAATAACCGTCAAGATATTATATTCCATTTCTGCCAATAGATCCTGTTACACAATGTATAATTTTATAAATCAACTTGAGCAATACTATACCTGCTGTCCAAAGATGCTCTCATTGCCTCCTTGTCGTGTTTTTTGCCTTTGCCACCTGACTTCCGAAGGCCTCTGTTAATGAACAGTAAAAATATTTTTGTTAGAACAAAAATGATAGAATCTTACAAACAAATGACAGTGATCACTATGCAGACTTACCCAAAGTCTGGAAATCGTCTTTTAGGTTTTCCTGTTGGTGAGGCCTCATTTAGCTCCTCTGAAATTAAACGATAATAATCAGGCTCAGTAAAAATGCTAGCAAAAGCATTGCTACTGCAGGCATCACATTTTATTCTTGCATACCTTTGAGCTCTTTGCCCTTGCCTTTGGACTCCCTCTTCTTGGCACTGCGCATAAATCCAGAGGGGGAATGTGGCGACAAGGTCTCTTTAGGAGGGGACAACGAAGGACTCCCACTGCTTTCAACACTATCTCCCAGTGATGGTGACAAAGACGGGCTGCTGGAGAGCTCTGCCTTACTCCTGGATCCATCTTTAGACTCCACTGGATTATCCTTCTGTCCATTCCCAGGATAGCAGACAGGCACCGGGAGGGACAGGCTCTCCTGGATGGACCTCCTTCTCCTGCGAGATTCCTGCTCCTCCTCCTCTTCTTCAGTTTCCTGTGGGGCCAAAACTAATTATTTACACAGACAATGCAAGGAAGAGGGGATATAAACTATTTATATAACAGAAAACTCTGCTCCTCAGCTCTGATTGGCTGAGGTATGTAAGCACAGACTGTAGAAGACACACCTGTGACACCGTCAGACTAAAATTAGCCTAGAAATAAACTTCTTGGTGCAACAGGAACACTATCATTAGAATTCCTTTTAATTAAACTTTTTTTTTTATTTTACTTTTTTTATATAATGTATTATTAAAAGGTGTTATTGTTGTTTTTTAAAAGCAAAAAGACACTAAATGATGTTCCCCATTGTATTTTAGAACTGCTGTGAGTATGGTAAGATATTCCTGTTTTTTTAGGAAAAGTGCTGCCTCAGCGCTTCAGCACAAGAGTGGGTCAAACCATGCTAACTTTGTTTCCTGACAGAGTTGTTTCTAAATTTTGCATAACATAAGCCCCACCTTGTTCACTGTGATTGTTCAGCTCACATATAACATAGAGCTACATTTAATTTAACTTCTTCTGTATAGAGGGAGACACAAGCTGTTTTGCCACCATTAGTTTCACTCCCGAGATAGCATTTTGAGCATGAAATTACTTTCTTGGGGTTTCAGGTTTCATGTCATACCTTACATCTGGCCTCAAGAGGCTGACTGTTAAATCCAATCATATGCTCATACAACATGGGGCTTTGGTTTGCTGCAAATTAAGCAATGTATTGCTATCAACTGTTGCTGGCTGACCTGAGAGTGACTTGAACTCACTGCGAGGCTCTCCTTCAGTTTGGTCCGAGATGGAGGCTGACGTTTGGCCTTCTGAGCCAGCAGGCCTTTTGCTTTGTGTGCACTGGTGTCCAAACGCTCAGTCTCAGGGACCAAGTCACTCCAGTCTTGTTCTACATTAGAGAAAAAAACCAAACATACCAAACAGGTTGGAAGACGCTGTGCACGGTTTTAATTATTTACCAGGGTCACTGGAGTTTATGATGCGTGCTGTGAATCTTTTACAGATAACACAATTAAAGTGTGACGTGTGTACTTCCGTTTTAAATGTTATTAAAATCTAGTAGAACTTTGTACCTAGTAGTGAGTCAACAGATGGTGTGTTGGTGACTGAGTCTTGGCCGCTCAATCTCTTCTGTGCTGCTGAGTCCTGACCACTCTGACGCTCCACACCTGAGGCCCCTCCGGACTCCAGGGCAGCTATCTGTGAACAAAACAACACAGGCTCCTTTCAGTGTCTCTAGCATCTCTGCTGTGGTATATAAGGATTAGTTGTCTTGAGCTGGGGTCTTACCCTGTTCTGTAATGTCTCCAGCTGCTCCCTGTACCACTTGTCTTTTTCATCTAGAATTTTTTTCAGCTCCTCCTCTTTCTTCACAAAGTCTATCTCTCTGGGGAGGAAAAAAGGAAATGGCCCATCAGTCCTTTAGCTTGTAAACACGTTCTATGTGACAGCTATTTATGACGGACAGATCTATTTGGTTATTGTTATCCTGCTTCATATAATACACCGTCTGAGTAAAAAATAAAGCACTGCATGGTTTGACTCCACTTTATACCAGTTTAACTCTGACCTCCTCAATCCGTGCTCCTAGTTAAAGTCTAATCAGACATTTCTTCACTTTTAAATGCATTTTTAAATCCCATCCCCAGACATCTTTATGTAGCAGGATGAGAGTCTACACAAATGTTATCTCGACCGCTGGGTTGCTTAAACTATGTTTCTGTGCAATCTGCCTATTGTATTTATACATTTACCCGTTTCCTGAGTAAATGAATAAAGTTACTATAGTAAGTAATAATACTAAACCCTGACTGTATTTTTATGTAAAATACATTTTGGTTTTTAAAAGGTGTTATATAATGAAACTGACTTGAGTAAATCATTGAATTCAACCCCTACAACAGTGTAGTGTTGTGTTACCTAAGACAAACTCACTTCTGCTGGTAGTCCTTGAGCAGTTTCTTAGCCTTGTTGTACTTCTTGTCCAGGGTCTCAAACTGGGCTTGAGTCTCAGCTAATTGTTCATTCACACTCTTACACAGATCCTGGGCTTCTAGCCAGTAACTCTCCAACTTCAGGATTTTGTCGTTGCCATCCTCGATCTTTTGCTCCAGTGCAGACTCTCTGGCTTCCCACAATGATTTGTCCTCCTCAGACACCCTTAGCTGTACAGAGATGGTGACATGTTACTTTGGTTGGCTATATTGAATTATTTTAGCAAGTGGGCCACTGGCCTAAGACAGTCTGTGTATTACTCATTGTATTACTCAAAAGAAGCAAAAAGGTTGCTAAGAAACATAATATATTTTATATATATAGTAATTACTGATGGATGAAACTCCAGAAAATATAGTTTATAAAATATACTTTCTGTTTGGTTTCTTTTTGAATGTTTTATATTGTACATTTATTTCTCTTGTATGTTATACATATATGAATATCTTGAATAACGTAATTTAATTTCATCCTAATCATACCTTTTCCTTCAGTTGATTTATTTCAGCTGCGGCAATGCTGTGCTGGAGCTGCAGCTAAGGAACAAAAATAGGGAAACAAAAGATTTGGTTACACCCATCACTGTATGTTATTAATAATCTGTGGTTGTCCTAACAGAACACTGAATCCTTAATATAATAAAAAAGTGATGGTGTGGGTGATACCTCTTTGAACTTGAAGGTCATCTGAGAGCTGTCCATGTTGGTTGGCATAAACAAAGCCTCTGAGTCAGGGAGCCCAAACACCTCTGCGTTCCGCCCTGGAGAGAAATTGGAACCCAGAATCCGCTCATCTACTCCGTCCTCCTCCTCATAGCGCTCCTCCTGAAATATGACATCACACATGGCATCACATATTGCAAACACCAACACACCCTACATGCCTAGGAACATGCTCAGCGTGTGTCAACAACACTCCCAGTGGAACAGTGTACCACAGTCTGAGGGAACATTGTAACATCATAACCAAACATTGGTGGGCTGGTTTCACGGGGAGGCACAGCAGGAGTCCACTACACATGTCTGTAGCTCGTCTGTGGCGTCAAACACATACAACAATATTCTCAGTGAAAAACAAGATTATCAACACACTTACACACACTTTGCATAACCACAGAACCACCTGAAACTGTGTTATGCAACATTACTTTTTTGACTTTGTCTGCTCCAGTAAATCTTTGCACATTCTCGCTATCGTAAAAACAGGGGCTTGTGGCTGCTTGAACTTCGGGAAGCAAACATTTCACAACTCTGGCAGACAGGTAGCGGTCAAATGAACACCTTCCAACTCAGCACAATTGTGACACATGGCTTACTCACAGTCAGCTGCACTCTACTCTGGCTCCTGGTTAAGCTGACTGGGATTGGACTGGGCACTGCAAAGGGGCTAATGCAGTGTTCATGTCATCAGCCACATCAGCCGAAATGGTTGTTCAGTGTAAATAACCCAAATTTAAGGTATATGGTGGAATATTATCAGTGCACTGTATTTTAATCCTCATATGACTGGCTGTGATTATATAAGCGCCTTGATGACATGGACGCAAGTCATTAATGTGAGAATCTTTCCCATTCCTACCATCCATCCTGTATGACATGAGCACGGCATAAGGTTGAACAGCGACTGAGTTACCAGCTGACTCACCTCCTCTGTGGAGTGTTCATAGGGGTCATCCATGTGTTGTTGCTGTTGTTGGTTCTTCTCCTGCTCTAGTGTCTCGCTTATGAGGCGGGCTACCTCGCTTTGTGTCCCTGGTTTCTCCCGTCCAATCATGAACCTGTTTTTTGTTTACAAATGCATTGTATTAGTGTGCCATATCATGGAATATTTACTGGATGTGCTGGTGTTTCATTTCCCTATGATAAATGGTTAACATGCCACAATACTTTGTGTTGCTTCTTTTAATTAAAAGAAAAAAAACCTCTGGACTCTGGAAGTAAATAGACTTAGTCTATTCAAGCTAAGATTGGCTCAGTCTTATCACCAACCAACAAGATCTTTTCAATAAGGTTGGTTTTAGGGGTTAAAGAGATGGACTTTGAGCTGACCTCACTGTGCCTTTGGTGTTCTTCAGGACTGTAGCAGCAAACAGTTGGGTAACGCCCACCAGACTGATACCATCCACCTCCACTATCTGGTCATTCACCTGTATGCTAGAGATACAGAAGACAGTAATATCAAGGACAGGGTTTCAAAGCATTTCCACAGTTATATTCCACAGTTAAGCACCGCCTTCAGCATAGTAGTAAAAAATAAAAAAAATTACAGTAGCCTCAATGCAGCTAAAAATGTCTGGGAAACAGACGTAGTGAGACTATTTTCTTAAGCTTTCTCAGGAGGTTATTAATAAATCTGGTTGTTTGTGTCTTTTGTGTCACTGGGCCATGGAGGAATGAGCCTTTCCTATAATGCAACGTTAAAATCTGTTGTGGTGGTGTAGTATGAAGTGAGTGTGAGCCATGTTTCCGGTTGTATACAAAACATTACGAGTGTCTCGGAGGGGGAATTTGTCGGCAATCTCTCAAAATAGTCGGCGAGTGGAAAGTCAGGGCTAAAATCATGTAGTGTGAACTCGGCATAATGTGACTCGTAAATGTTGGGTTGGTGCAAAAAGGAGGTTTCAGCACTTCAACTCACCGTCCATCGTTTTCAGCTGCTCCCCGCTCTGTTATGGTTTTCACAAAAATGCCAAGCTTCTCCAGACCCTGGTCAGCTCCCACTCCCATCCCTATGATACTGATGCCAAGTCCATTGTCTCCTACATGCAGAGAAGGCCCAATTCCATTATGTCCTTAACACTCAACTATTTTCATTTTTATGCAGACTAATAGCATTTGTCAACCTAAATATTCTTGATTTAAAATCTGAACCACAGTCACAAGACTCAGTTGTTAAAATACACAAATTGCCTTTGAGGGCTGTACTTTGTGTGCAGCTAAATATTTCTCAGAGATTGCTTTTGACACACAGGAATTTACCTTCATTGTTGCTAAACTCACCTTTCTCAATCTCCACAGGGAACACATCCATCTTCTCCACTCTCTTCTCCAGCTCATACTCTGCAGATGCTGCAACTGGATCCACATCATCGTTGCGCCGATCATACTCCTCATTGGAGAAAGTACTGAAGACCTGTGTTGGTCAAAATATGAAGTGCATAGATTCAATACACCACCCTCTTATGTCCTAGTAGTGAACCATCACACAAATTTATGTTAAGGGAGAATCTACAGGGTCTGCAGACATTCGCATATTGTTTTTACTTTTGAGTTATTCCTATTTATCCTGGCAGGCTGAACAAGGACACATTCTTCATTTGAGAAAAAATGCATGAGAGGAATAACTCATACTTTGGACCTTTACTAGGGAAATTATGGAACCAGTGCACTACTGAACCACACTGTAAAAGCTGCTGAGGGACAGCAGAGCCCTTTGACAATGATCTGAATCACTCGATTGAAATTCAGTCCTTTATTCAACTGTGGCCATTGTTCTCACAATAGTGTCTGACAGAGATAATAAAGCTGAATGATCTTCAGTTATTTAACTACACCGACTGCATCATCAACTCTGGTTGGTGATCTTTTCCATCTTCATAATATTTTTGAACAGATGTAGTTCAAATGTCAGTGACACTGAAGCAGAAGATGCATTCCCAAGACATACTCTTGAGGACTTTCATCAGAGTTTTAAGAAGTTGTGAACTTTGCAGGCAGGCCTTGCAAAGCACTGGATGTGTCCCAAAGGCTGTTTTCTGGTTGGAATTATAAAGCAGAACATGAGCAGCGTGGAAAGTAGGGCACAGCTGGGGAGAGCTAAGCAGTGGATGTAGCAAAGATCAATGTTCGGAGGCGACAAGTGAATCATCGGCACAGTAAAAAGAAATCAAATAAAGAGCAATACAAAAAATCCCCAATCCCTAAATGTTCAGCTAACTGGTATTACCCAGTACTCAACAGCAGCCTTAAGGGTTATTACATACAACCACTGATACTACCAAGCAGAAATTGTGTTCCTACTTTGAAAAACACTCAGGCTAAAGTGAGCACTACAATATTCAGAATAAAATGGATTGGAGGTGGCCATCTGTTGTGAGTCAGTTACTACAATTAAGACAAGGTTTACAGCAAGGCTGCTACAGTTATTTCCATTATTGAGTAATCTGACGATTCTGTTCTCGATTCATGTTTTTAAACAAAAATGCAGAAAACAGTAAAAAAAAAAAAAAAAAAGTCCATCAGTTTCCTTCAGCCCAGTGTGTTATCTCCTTGCATTGTTCAAACAGTCCAAAACCAAAAGTTTTTTAACTTAATACCATAAAGGAACAGCAGCTGACTTTCAAATTTAAAAAGTCATACCTCTGCAAATCGTTATTTGTGGGTATTTCTTGTTGCCATAGTTAGCAGCACTGCAAGGTCTTGTGAATTATCTTCATACCACAAAGGCCAGCTTACATTTCTAAGCAAATTCTGAAACTGTCAGTGATCTGGAGGTCTGAGTAAGATAAATTGACCATTGGACCTGACATAGTCTTATGTATATAGTAACAGAACAAAGAGAGAAGAACCATAGAGTGTGTTTAATTATGAGAGACTAGTTTATAGATTTTTGATAAAAAGTAGATTAGAGTTTAGCAGACTCCATCTGGGCATAATGCCTGATTATGGGGATGAACCCAACATAAATCCCCTGCTTGTTCATCATTAGTCTCTACTGAGTGGTGTCATGATAGTGGTGGTAGTGGTGGCAGGATGCTGGTATCAGAGTGGGAAGGTGAACCCTACAGGTGCTGCTGACCAAGTAACAAGCATGCTGATAATTTGGCTCCACTGAGCATATGAGTAGTGAATAGACGGCTCACTAATGGGATGATGCAGAACAGAAGAGCTGCCACTTGGAAATTAAACAGAGGAAAATGGGAAAACATAAGAAAGGATATAAGCTGTGTTCTCGGAAGAAAATATTTAGTTCTATAAATCACTTATTGGCTGGGCATGACATTATCAAGTTAGTTCAAGTTAGTGAGCTGGGATAGAGTTGTTTCTCGGAAGAGGAGGATCAAGGCTATAACATGCACAAACCAAGGCGTTCAAATGCTCGTAAACTTGACAGGATCATCTGTGAGTGCTGAGACAGAACCAATCTACTTGGGACTTAGGATTTTTTGTAAGAAATTTCCTGAAGTGCCATAATAGGCAATACACCGAACTGAATTTTAATTGAACAACTACCACACAAATCTGTGATTCCATCTCGTATACCATAGGTGATAAATTTGCACAATTAAATGATTTACCAAGCATGTCGTGTTAGCCTAATAAAATATACTGCAAAGGGCATCATATACACCTGGACAGCCTTATGTAACACCATAACAATACTGTGGTGGTGTTGTATTCTAGTGTGCAACCTTGGACATGAGAGCCAGAAATCCCTGGGACAAATGTTTGAGTTGTGCTCAGATATTGCTACTATGATATAGAGAGTGCAACCCAGGTTGTGGTTAACACAATGAAAAACTTGTAAAATTGTACAACAAGGGATGGAAATTTACAAGATAAAAAAGGAGTAGGGCAATAGGATTGATCGAGACATACCATTTTGCCATGAGGATGTATGATGTAATCAGGTAAACATTTCCACTCTGGGCAACAGAGTCTGAGGTCTAGATCCTACAGCATGTCAAGACTTGAAGAATCAACCACAAACACAATCCCCTTCTCCCTCTGTCTTTCTGTCTCCTCACTATTTGGATGAAGCCCAAAACAGTGCAGATAATACTTTTCCAGGATAACTCACTGAGCTCTCTGTTCAATTTGTCAATGTGAATTACTATAGTATGACTATTTCTGTGTTACAACATCCTGCTGCTAATCACACACATTTATCCAATTGGAATCGCATTGCTTTATCTTGGAAACAAGATGTAAATACACTGCCTTGATACACTTGCAGGTACCCCTCTCCTGTAGCCTCCCAAACCAAATGAAAGAAGATTAGAAAATTAAAGATTATGCACACTACTGTAACTCTGTGGTACAGACAGGAATGCTATTCATGGGGCCTCGACCCTCTATCAACCCAAGTGAATCCTCCTCCTTCCTTCTATACTTGAACAAGCTTATTGCCATAGGTTTATAATCCATGACCCACATGTTGTGCTATTTTCCAGTGGTAGATGGGTGTTATCTTTATCACACAAAGGCGAGGCCACTGCACATAACATTGAAGATTACAACTTTTTTCAAATAACCAACAAACTACTCAAGACATCTTTGTCCTGCTGGCATCTTTAAAACCAACTCTGCATGTCTCTGAACAACAAGCTTGAAAGCGTTTCTATAAATAGGGCTGACAAAGCTTATCAACTTCTAATTTCGACAGTTAAAAATGGATTCACAGAACTGGAGCAGACAGAAATTTCATTAAGGATGAAAGATGCTTTTTAGTTTAGACTTTGGAGACTTTAGTAATTAAAGGTTGAAAATGTAGGCTAATAGAATATAGGGAGCACCACTGCCTCCTTAGGCCCTGGCATTAGCTGAGCAGCAGAAATTCAGATTGGCTTCTCCCCTCTACCTCTCCCCCCGACTCTCATGTCTGACTTCCCTGTTGCCATGGACTCCCAGGCCTATTTCGAACAATGTTCTCTTCTTTGCTGAAACCTAATCACTCAAACACTGTTTTCTTTGCGAGAAAGACAGAAACCAATCTCTTCATTAGGCTCTCCCTCACAAACAAGCCTCACTCACAGCTCCCATTATCACTGTCTCTAGTTATTAGACAAAACACCCATTTTCCCTATAATGTTCAGCACATACCCCGTCCTCTATCAGCTAAAAACCAAGAACACTCAACTGTTGATCAGGCAGCTCGACTACAACAAGGATGAGAGACCACAGAAGATCAAACAAGTTTATAATGAACAAGGTATCGAACATGTTGTTTTAATGCCAATTTCTTCCCCTAAATTATTACTGTGGTCACTGAGGTTGTGATGTGGGTCAACAGACTGCTATGCCGTCTTCATATTTCCATTTACTCACAAACTCGAGCTCCCAGCAGTGTGTGTGGGCTTTCCATCCATCTTCAACAACTGCAGTGGTCTGCCCTCTTTACGTGTGCTCACACGCACAGATGTACACATGTCCACACCCAAACCGAAACCCTTCCCATCTTTCTCCGATTCCCCTCCCCACAACAGAATACCAATGTGGGAAATGAGTCAGCAGCTGCGAGGAAAAGCAAACCAGAGGAATCTCTTGCCAGTGCAAAACGAGGCCTGACCACTGGATTGGGGAGCTTGTAATGCAAGCGGGCCTACAAAAAGACAACAAATGAAAACACGCTGTGAGAGCGAGCTAGGGCAGGGGTGGCGGTCTGGCGCAGATCATGGAGTAATTAGGGAAGGCATGGGGCCCAGTTTTTAGATCTTGTGTAAACAGAGCACGGAAAATAACAAAATATATATCTAGTACTTCCTGTATGTATGCCCTTGGAATTATTAACACTCTGTTAACTTCAAACTCATTGACTGTAACTGAAACAACAGTGTTTATGTTTCACGGATTAATGTATGACCTACAGCAGGAAGAGGTGGAGTCTGAGAAGAGTGGAGTGCCATATTTCCAAAGGACCGCAAACACAAACAGGTTGAACAGGTTTGTTTATAAATGGCCCACAAAAGCTACTTCGGTCCTGCAAGGTTTGTTGAAATTTTTAGTACACAATTAGAGAATCCACTAATGTGTTTGTCTCTGGTCAGATAATGAAAGTGTTTAAGGCAATCACAGTCAGCCAAAGACTCATCACATGCCAAGTTGTTTAATGAGCAACACTGAGCTGACTGCATTAGTATTCTGCCCTGTTTTGCCCGATAGCCATCCACTTACCCAGGTGGCTGGAGGGATCCTACAAGGGCAGGGCCTGTCTGCTGGTTGGATGAGGGTGGAGTCTAGTCAGACACATTCCTCTGGCCAGCAGGAGACCCATCTCATTTAGGAAATGGAAAGAATAACACTATGGGATGAGTTGACCACAGAGGCCAGTCAAATTAAGGAGTATGCCCCTTTTGATTTTCACTAATCACATGAAATAGTAGAGCAGGCAAATTTGTCCTGTCGTAATTACATCTTAACTTCCCAGCATGTATAAAGAATAGGGGTGGGGGGATCAATTCATTTGTACCCTCCGTGGTCAAGTTTAACACATTTTATGAGTTTAATCGGTAGCAGTTTTGTTAGGTTTAGGCACAAAAACAACTTGGTTAGGTTCATGAAAAGCTCATGGATCTAAATAAGTATGTAACATACATAACGTAAAGAAACTAAATCAATGGGGGAGTGAACAGTGAACTCCTGGGGGAAAGTCAAACTTGTAGGTGAAACTTCAACAGTGCATGAAAACATTAAGCCAAACAGCTGCATCCAGAGAGGTAAATGGTAAATGGACCTGTACTTGTATAGCGCCTTTCTAGTCTTCCGACCACTCAAAGCGCTTTTACACTACGTGCCACATTCACCCTTTCACACACATTCACTCAGTGATGGCAAAGTCCATCGAACTCATTCATACACATTCACACACAGATGCACGGCATCAGGAGCAATTTGGTGTTCAGTATCTTGCTCAAGGATACGAGGTGACAACTGGAGCCAATGTTGGAAGGCACAACGCTAGTCTTTCCTGCTCAGCTTTTTTTTTTTTTTTTAGGGCTAACCCCCATCAATTTTTCAGCAGGAAACAACAGACAAGACTTTTGTCAAACTGCTGTGTTTATTAACTGGCATATGACAACCTCCACTGTACAACTGCTGCCAGACTGACAACTTACTGATAACCCTTTGCTCTGCTGGCATCTCTCACTTGTTCAAAGGAGGTATACTACTCTCATAAAAGTATCCTTCAATAACATCTGCAGGGATCTGTTGCCTTTTCACCACCGGAAGACAAAATCCATTCTGTCGAATCAAAGGATTCCTTCATAGACTACTTCTGCACAAACATCATAGGGCACCTGTGAAACTCTTGTTGTTATCTGGCTACACATTAATGTCTCCGAACTTTATTTTACCAGATACAGGTGAAGTGTCGATCATAAACAAAGTTTTACTGCAGGCATACGGGAAGTCAAACTTACAAAAGGACGTGCATGCTTGAACAGTGACCAATGTGGACAGTGTAACTATCTACACTGCAAACAAAGAAAAAAATACTGAATTCTTTCATTACAATGAACTGAACAATCTTTTACCACACCCTGTGTGTTCAAGAAGGGACAATGTGTTCACTTGACCAATAACTGCTGGTGGTACTTCCTGTGACTCTGTGAGGGTGGGGCAAAGCAGCAGGTGCAGGTCCTGGGTTCAGACATTTTCTTTTCTGTTATGGTTGACTGGTTTTTGACTCCTCCTGTTCCAAATGTCCTCATATGCAACACAACACACAGAGATCCCATATAACTACTAAATGAGTAGTGTGAAGTCTTTGTCCACAAGCAGATAACACACCTACGTTAATCATTCAATAACTCATGGCTTTTTGCCAAACTATAGGGTTCACAGTGAAAGTGAATTCCAGTAGATGCAAACCTTTGAACTGCTGAACAAAAGTGAACTAAAGTTTAAAAAGGTTTTCCGGATAAGGACATGCCCAGACACACAAATCTAATATCACAGGCCCGGTTTTTATTTGCAGTTATAGAGGAGACAACCTCCTCGCCAACACCAAAGATATAATTTAAAGCAGTGGTACAATATTTATACGGCTCATACAGCCAGGGGGTATAGCAAACTCTTATACACAGCAACCGTGGGAATGCAGCATTTCTTTGCCCTACTAAAAAGTGTGACTCTGTTTCCACATATGCAGAAGAATCTCGTAAAACATGATGTATAAAATAATTGCAGTACTTTCTCAACTACACCATGCATTTATTTTAGCGATTTTCTTTCTAAGCTTTTCCATTTTGTTTCAACTACAGATCAAGCAGATCAAGGTTGAGACTGGACGTCTCCTTTATTTCACAAAGAGGACCTTTCTACCACACAGGACACCTCCTCTGTCAAGATGACTTGGGTTACTTAGGGACCTAATCCTGTTGTGGGCCAGAAGCACAAAGCACTTCCTCTCTCCTAGTTAGCTACAGCTCAAGTGTGCTCGAACCCAGTGCCAGCTCTGGCTAGCAGACTGTGGAGAATGATGCAGTGCTAGCGGGAGGCTTTTGTTAGCCAGGCCACAGGTAGGAAGGTTGGCTGAGGGACGTTTGTGTGACTTAATTGGCTAACACGCATACCACGTAACCTTGACCCCATGGTTTTAATCCAAGCACATGTCACTATTTTGACAAATCTCTGTGTGTTCTTTCCAGCATGTCCATTGTATGCACCCATCCATGCAAATATATAAAAAGCAAATTGGAAAGAATGCTTGCACATGTTTGTTTTTTTTAACTTTAACTTTATCTTCAAGATGATTGAAGTCTAGTCCTTTTTGTATATATCTGTTACTTTCCCCTGGTGATCATTATAGGTGCTCTCACAGCAACCTGGTGTAGGGACCAGGGAAAAATGTTGTTTCTGAATTCTTTGAACATTGTTTATACAAATATTTCCAGTATTTACGTAATACTTTATCTTACTAGTCCATATAATGTTAATTTTGTATTCAATTTTACATCCAAAATGTATAAAATGGCCGTGTCACCCTTTTGTTTAAGTCTACTTCAAAGCTAAAACAACCTTTAAAATAACAAACCATTAGAACTATACATCATCGTGATAATTTGTCTCACTGTTTTGAAAATCCACTGAGCGGGTTGTTGTGTTACAAAGGGAATGACAAGGTACCAGGATCATGAGGGACAGTTCCAGTAGTGCTCAAACAAATTAGCAAATTTATTTAGTCAATTGAGAGAAAATGAATCTGCAACTACTTAAATAATTAATCATTTAGGTTTATTAATGAAGATTACTTAGTTCTTCCCAACTACAGTATGACAATTTTCTGCTTTTCTTTGTCTTTTGTGATGGTAAACTAAATATCTTTGGGTTTTGTATTGTTGGACAACGTTACCTTAGCCTTTAGGATATGGAAATGCAATTTCCTGCCATTTTTGCTAGACCAATTTATAAATTAGTTTATTTAGGGGAAAAACAAAACAGCAGATTAATCCATCAAAAATAATAACTTTGTGTAACAGCTTCATTTGTTACATTTGGTTTGCTGTATGCATATAAAAGGATGCAGTATGAACATTTTGGACACAGCTAGTATCATTGAATCAGCCCATTGATACAAGCTCACATAACAACTACAACCTTGTGTCAGCTATTTCTCTTTTGCATAAAGTCTCCCTCTCACGAGTCACGACTGTTATGAACAGTATGTGAACTGCTTCATGGAGGAGACACAGTCTTGCATATTGTTGTGAACTACAAAGCTGTGTTTATCTCTGTCATAGCTCCACTTGGGGCGGAGGAGACACACTGTTGTTTGTGTCCCCTCCACTGCAGGTCAGCTTCTGGTCCCCTCTCCCAGGACCCCCTGCCAGGATGACTGAGATGGGGGGGTCCACACCCTGAGATAACAGTGCTTTTTAAGGCCTGGATAAACACTGAGCTGTTCACAAGCTATGTGGAATGCACTGGAGTGATTTGTTTTCCCCTGTTTTATCAAAATGCTGTTTAGATATGGTGATGGTGGAATATTTACCATAGAAGAGATCACCTCCACTTCCACCACACCCCTTAAACACCCACTGGAAATGTTTACAACACTTGTGGCAGTACCAGGAGATATTACACAAGCAGGAAAATCAGTTTTTGAGTACGAAACTGCAAAGCTGGAAGATAAATCAAATATATATTGTGGATATGATGATATGAGACTGCAGGGATATGTGTTACTGTAAAATTGCAATAAATGTTTTCCCGGTCTTGTAGGCTGCATTGTTTAATGTAATTATATTTGACTGCTCAAGGAAGAATAAAATGAATCATCATTCATACTTGTGATGATAATTGTACACAGACCATTTGGAACATCCTTAGCTGAGATTAGAGATCGTATGAAAGCGCCAACAGACCTATTAAAATTAGTTATTGTAACGATCACCCAGCTCTGCAAAACCAACTGCAGAACTTCTGTCCTCAATAAGGACATGTTAGACCTCCATATAATACAGCATCAACTAACAATTATTTTCATTATCGATTCATCTGTCCATCATTTTCCTGATTACTTGTTTGGGCCACAAAATGTCAGATTCACACCCTTATAAATTGATGGATAGTACAAATCAGGAATTCCCTGGCAGTAATAAGATAAGTTGGCCATGGTCGGACCAAGAGATCATGGGAGAATAAAATACTCATGAATTCCTTATATCCATGTTGGAGAGAAGTGAAAAGTCCCTCATGAGTGCAACACATGATTCACAAACGGAGGGGAACCACTCTAAATGAGCAATAATACCCATGCAATGCAGTGACTCATAGGTGGCCATGTTTTTTTTTTTTTTTTTACTTCTTAAGTTTCACATGCCTCTACCTCACTGCTGCCCTCATTCAGCTGTGGTCCTGCTTTCAGAAGGTTTTATGCAATGTCAACAATATTTCCAAAAATACTGCACACTATGCTGCTACCTCGCGTCCCCCAAATTCTCCCCTCTCCCCTGATCTCTTGCAGGGTCAATGCGCCAGGAGACGAGGTTGTCAAACTACATGCCTGCGTGGTCACAGAGATTAAATAAACCATAGTTTTAGATTTTCTGAACCGTGACAAAGCTCGTCTGATGATACACTGCAGCAGCTGTGACGTCAACGTGCCAGACAAAAAGCATTCATTCTCAGCCTCCACTAATTTGTCTTGTGTCTGAGGGAAACACCTAGGTCAGACAGTTGCTGAATCAGCGAGACTGTGGTTTATAATGAAGGTGCTGTGCAATATGTTTTCAGAGCAGCAGTAAGTCTGAGGTAAACAACACAACACTTACCAGAATGGGATCTGTGGAGAACTTGATTTTCCTCTTGGAGGGAGGTTCCTCCTCATCAGACAAACCAGGGGCCTCGTAACAGTCGTCATACTCCTCATACATTTGCTCTTCTTCCTCCTCCTCCTCCTCCTCCTCCTCCTCTTCTTCTTCCCTGAGGATCTGGTCCACATCTCTGTCATCTACAAACGCTGCATTCTCGATACCGTACACTACTGGTGAGGCTCTGTCCAGGATGCGCTGGCCCACCTGCTCCTCAACCTCGCTCTCCTCCTCTGCAACCTCATCGTCTTCCTCGCGACTAGCGTCACCATCTTGACTCACGACTAAACTTTCTTCGTGTCTCTCCTCTTTCAACCCAAATCGCTCGTTGTCCTCCAAGACTCTACCTTCGCCCACAGTAGTCTCTGCTATCCTTTGCGTCTCTTTTGCGACATCTCTTGCTAAGACATGATGAGCAGGCTTACAGTTCAGTCTTTCTGGTGGAAAGGTTCTTTTCAGGTCTGTCGGTACGTCTTTGGGACTTTGCACCTTCTGCTCCGCAAACACATTATCTTCAACATGCTCATCCTCATTCTCCTCACTCTCTGAGGACTCATTCTGAACCACTACCAGTTCTGCCCGTACCATGCCCACCCCTCTGGAGTCCAGTGGTGACGTCTGGCTGGGTGGCTTGACCCTGGTAGGACTACAGTCATTACTGCTGGCCTTATCAGGGTATTTAGCCCTGTTGGGGCCACCAGCTGATGGAAGAGGCTGCTTCACATCCCTTGGGGGCGGACTATGTGTTTTGCCTTCATCCCCACCAACAGATGTCCTGCTAAATCCATCACCGGATGATGAGGAGCGTTTGCAGCCGTGGGTAACTGGGGTTGTTTGCTCTGGTGAAAGGGGTTTGTGAGTGGCGTCAGTTGTTGGAGAAACAGATTTATATGCCGCGTTGGGAACTGTTGGTTTAACCCCAACATTAGACACTGGTTTGTTAATGGCACACGCCGTCTGGGAGGCATTTTTGTTTGTGGCATCAGTAACAGGCGTACAGTTAGTGGCTTCTTTGACAGGAGAAGTAGATTTGTGTAAGCTGTCCCTTGTTGGCGAGGTAGGCAGTAAGTGTTCAGTGGCGCTGTGTTGTTTAACAGACACCGTTTCTCCTTTTGCAGCAGCTGTGTTGTTGTATTCTGAGTCATTCTCTGCCATATAAGTCTCCAACCTTTTGGACATGGGTCCTGCATTCACTGACACTCTAGACACATGCCTTTTCTCACTATCGGCCTTCTCATCCGGTTGACATTCAACTGTTGATGTAGGGGTTTGCTCTGATTTGATAGTGGTCTCAGATGATCCAGATACTCTCCTTGTGCTTTTCCCCTCATCAGAGGCACTTCCGAGGGACAGACGAGTCACTGCTCTGTTTGGAGACTGCTTTTCAACTGCAGGCTGCTCTTTGATGCCCCGTTCAAAGAGTTTTCTGGTCACAGAAAACTTCTCTGCCAAAGCCACTTTGTCAATCTCAACTTCTTCCCCCTTGGGTGTTTTATCTAAGCTGTGTGGTTCTGGGCTTGTAGCACTGTTGAAGTTAGCTCTGTGAGTGTTGACTGGAAATTGCACCTTTGGCGGAGACACTGGGGGCACTTCAGACTTTAAAGTCACTTTCCCCTCTTGGCACTCCTGTTGCTGACCATCCATCTGTAGGAATATGTTCTTTATCTTGTTTACCCTGGTGCCAAAAGGCCTCCCCCTCGAGTCCTCCCGGGTGTCACTGGACCCATTTGCATATGATTTGGCGGCGCCCTCGGATTTTGGCCCATCAAAGGAGCACTTAATGGCGTGGAAGTCAGACTTGTATGCATTTCTGTGGGGGGACGCGCTCCTCAGGGTCCTCTCGCCTCCTTTGCTTTCCCCTTTGATCATTTTTGCGTGTTTACGACTGCAGCCCGATTAGAAAAAGCCGGGTGTGGAGAGACTTTTGCTGATTGTTGGTAAACTACTATCCCTCAACGTTACACAAGCGGTGCCATGGGTCCGGCGGAGTTTCTCTGGAGCACCGTCGTTTCAACTATCAAACACACACAGCGAAGTCATCTGAAGAGAGAAACGGACAGTAAAATCGGTTAAAACAGAGACCGGATACCATTATCTCTCTATGCCTGACGTTAATCTGTTAAAAGTTAGTTAATAAAGGATTATCTCTTTCTGTATGCAAATCAAACAGCATGAAAAGCCACAGTTTGAACATGAAGTAACGTCAGATAACTCTTAGTAAGTTAGTAAGGTTAACGTTTCGATGGCGTTAGCTGTAACCAGTTATTGTCAAGGCAACCGCGTAAGTAACTTTAACCAACTATTAATCTTTATTGCGCTTAACTCCTCCGGTTGAAACATCATTAGAGTTGTCGGTAACGCTACACCACAGATAAAAAGGTAACGTTAATAAACTTACTGGGCCAACCGCCGAGCGCCGGAGCCTCGGTCTGAACAATTCATTGTGGCATTCCAAGTACGAGCCGTTGGAAACGTTTAACCCTGGTTCTACACACGACGCCGCTCAAACGTAAACAACTTTATAAGTCTCTCACCTCCGACTTGCTTCATCGTGTTAGGCGCCGAAAGATCGCCCACAGTGCTCCAGTTTTCTTTTTGTTTCTTTTTACAGTATCAAACTTGTCCCTTCTTCTTGCTCACCGCCATCATTCCCCGCTCCAGTCGGGCAACGTTGTCCTGCCTCCTTTGCACTTCCAGACCTGTCGCGGGCTGAGCGCAGCGCGCACACGAGTCTGTGTCTGTGCCGCGCGCCGCCACCGACGAGAACAGAGGGAATCGGGAGCGCGCCCACATTCCAGGAGTGTAACCCGTCACTCCACTGCACCCTCCTCCTCTTTCTCCACTGTACGGAAGCCCATTTCCGCCAATGCGACGGGAAAATAATTGACTTAGCATCTTAAAATAATGACTCATTAATTCAAAATATTGACTTCGTATCACAAAGTCATTTTTTCAGATACTAAGTCGAAATATTGTGAAACTTTCCCATTATTTTGAAATGCTACATCAATGTTTTAAGAAACTTTCCCATTATTTTGCAAAAACCTTCTCGTTATTTTAAGATTCTAAGTCAATGTTTTTAAGAAGCTTTCCCATTATTTTGCAAAACATCATTATTTTAAGATGCTATGTCATTATTTTAAGATGCTAAGTTATAATATTGCAAAGCTTTCTCATTACTTTGCAAAACCTTCTCATTATTTTTGAGATACTAAGTCAAAACATTGCAAAACTTTATCATTATTTTGAGATGCTAAGTCTAAATTATTATTTTTGTTCCCTGTCAGATTGACGGTAATGGACTTCCATACAACAGCACAGACACAAGGAGTTGTAGAAGAAAGGCGTGGGAAAGAGCTTACTGGGTACTAGAGCTCACCTAGACATCCGCATGGGCAAAGGTCCATACCAAGACTTCAAAAACAACTCACTTCAGGTTTACAGTAGACATGGAAAAGAGCCTTTACTTACAACCTTTCCTGCTGTCAGGGACTGTAGCATTAAAGGGACACTGCCAATTTGACACACAAAGTTTAGTTTACTAAGTACTGAGAGTAGAAATCAGCCTGTGACAAAAATATAATGTCTTTTTTGTCTCTGAAAAGTGTTGACGGGAGTCCTGATCATCACAGTTTTCTTGGCTTAGGCTTGAGATTTAAAACAGAAAATCTACATTTAAACTGAAAGTGCGTGGTTTTAAAGGAATTGACTTTTAGGAGTCTCATAAAAGATGCTATTGAGTTGCATTTTGGAATTCAGTAGATCTGCTGGTTTTGTAACTTTTAAATCTTGGCCCTCGCTGCTTCATCTTTGACCGTTCTTTCGCTCCATTAAAAAAATCTGTCTTTGTGGAGTAATCCCATTTCTAAGCCTGAATTGTTGGAGTACCTCTTTGGGATACTTTGCTGAAACAACATTTTCTGTTGCTGTAACCCTACTTAAACTATGTGTGGGAGGTAGACTTGGCTAAGGCTCGATAACCAGCTAGGCAGAGCAGGCAATTGTCACAATACCCCAAACTCCCCTAAAGCCCCAAATCAGTGGGTTTTGGTTATCTGATTAATAGGCTCTTTTCACAGGGGGCATTTTCACATGTCAGACTCATAGTAGGGAAAGCACTTTTGTAAATAATATAATTAATGATGGATGAACTTCATCCAGCTGCTTCAATCCTGTTTTTTTTTAGGATGCTTGTATTGTATGCATGTTAGCCAACTATCACATTGTGAGCCATTGTAATGTTATTAGTGACACCTGTACTGCAGAAAAATATCTGCTGTGAGATTTCAAATTTGAGCTGGGCAGGTCTTCTGTCATTTTCTGGAAAGCTCCCCCTCCTGTGAAATCTAGTTAAGACTGTTGTTCATTTATATTATGTTCATATTGCTAAATAAAGTTAAGTTATAAAATATGTGCAAGTACCAGTGTATTGATTAGTCTCTGGGCACACGATGACACTGCCACATAGTCGATCTTCTGTTTGCACTGTGGCTTATGGGAACTGTGAAGCAACAGGCACAATACCCGGACACGCAAATTTGGCCATGAGGCTCCATGTTTCAGGGAGTGGATCACTTTTTAGGCTGCAATGAAACAACTTGGGAACCCTCATAGATTACTGCCTTAGTGTAGATGTGTATAGTGACTACTTCTGTCCTGAGCCTTAGGTTGGTGTTAGTCTTATCTCACTGGATCAGGGCTGCTCCTAGGTCCCATGGTCTTAAGTTTACATCTCTCTGTGTTGCTTCTTGTCAGGTTATCCAGATCTCCAGGTATCCCTTGGTCCCAGTAAGGTTTAACCAACACCAAGGCAAAGCAAGTTTTAGGGATGGGACGACTTACGACATTAAAGCATATTGAGATATAAACACTCAGATAAGTACATCATTGTGCATTTGCATCATCAGGTTGATTGTAAATTGGGATAAACAGAAGTATTCTCACATCAGAGTACATTGTTTGAGGATTATTGTGATTATATTGTGAATTGCAATTACTTTGTTCGGGATAACCGTGACATGAAATATTCATATCGTCCCAAGTTTATTCGTATGGCCCATTTCATACACAAAGCATGTCAAAATGCTTTATATATCAACAACAATAAACAGGAAATGCCACATAAATTGAAGGATAAAAAACATTCTGATAAATAATAATAAATAATAATAATTAAAGATAAATAATCAAGTGCAGGGCAGATAATGATGAGTACTCAGTTCTAGGTCAAAGGCAGCGGAGTTCATATAACATAATAGTAACTTAACAAGCTGAATCATCCTCACACTATGAATGCCTTATTAGAGTTTTTCCAGATTATGATGGGAGACTGAAGTCACAGCAGATGTGTCATGTTCCTTCATATTACATACAGTAGGTCTGGTTTATGCATTGACGCTAAATTTGGCCTGAATTAAAGTAGGTCATCCACAGAAATCCTATATCCTGGCTGTGCAAAGTGTTTTGGGACTTTTTATAATCTGATACTTTTAATTTCTGATTCATTACGCCGAAAATATCTGTTGAAGTGCTTTCACAGAACACTGAAACATAATGCATTTTGGTTTTTTGCTTGCCAGTCATTATTAGAATCAGGTCCCCTCTCCAGAGAGCAACGCTGTGTAAGTTAACTCACAATAGGTATGCGCCTGCTTGATTAAAAAAAAAAAAAAAAACATGCTGTTTTCATTGAGATCGGCTGCAAAGATACTGAATGAAAGTGTAGTCAGATTTCCTCGGTGGCTGAGAACCTACATTGCAAAAATATCACCGATCAAGTGCGAGAAGATATTCTTTGATCTCCACTTGTAGGAATATCAATATATTTTTACCAGATGGTGAATTTCCTTAACTTTTATTAACACATTTATCAGATTAATAAAATATTTAATAGCTTGACATACATTTCAGATTATATCTTCACATATCTTAAAAGTGTATATTATGTTGGATCAAATCTTAATACATTATGAACATGCAGTCTTTTGTGATGATGTGTGAAATTAAACATGAGGAGAATTACGTAACTAATAGGGAAGTAATTATTGATAAATATGAACCAGACTGCAGCAACAGGCCTAAGCAGATGGTGATCTATTTAGAAGGCATTTTTATGAGCATGTGAGCATTTCAGTTGCCTAAAGTGTAATCCCATCTACATTTTTAATTGTACAAAACATGAAATATTGAACCCTCACCACTTTTTCACATTTGTTTTCTTCCAAAGCAACTTATGAAAATAATGCCGCATTTTGGGCTTCTCCAGCACATCAATTCAAAGTTGTAAATTAGTGTTTTAAAACATTCAGAGAAGTTGGAAAAGGTCCTGTTCTCAGGCATTTCCTCTGGAGTTTATCTGCCCTCACATTCCATTTGAGGCACGGTTATCTGATTCACGAAGTTTTATATGGCTTTGTGTAACCACTCACCATAGTTTATGTAAATGTCTGTTTGATTACACTGTACATGGTGGCTCTCTAAGGTGTTCTGTATTCATTTGTTTTATGTAAATCAGTTGAACTTTGGCTCTGGGTGGGGATGTGAGGTCTCAGACTGGGAGTGAAACATCTGAACAGTGTCAATTACGCAGCACACTGCTTTAAACATCATTTCCTTTGACTCTGGAATTTGCTCTTTGGTCTTTTAAGCAAGACTCAAGTCTACAAAAACAAATCCTACATCTCAAAATGTTCAGCTGACAAGAAGAAACAAATGCAAGTTTGACCCCAAACATTCAGTATTTTATAATTGCATGAGTTCATAAGAGTTCTACATACCAGCAGAAACAAATATCTTTCCAAATGATCAGCATCTGAAATTATGCTGCGTGTGCACATAAGGGCTGCAGCTGTTCACCATTTCCAACTTGCTGGATCATCTCCGAGCAACTGCTGGTCTGAAAAGCCATATATACACAGTCAGTGGGCTTTCTCCCAGGGGTAACATGGCACGCCGCAGCCAAGCCAGTGGTCCCTATAGCAACCCCTCAGACAACATCGAATGAATAAGACAAACCAAATGGAAACAGGAGCAGGTGAAGAGCAGGTCAGAGTAGCCAGTGGAACCTTTGAGACAACGTCTCAAACGCAATCCAGCTGTGCTTAATAATAGAACAAAACTCTCTCTATATCTGGCATTTTTCATTCTTGCTGAAAATGGTGTGATGTTTAAATATCGCCGCTGTCAGTGGGGTGCTTTTCAGGACACAAGGATTGTTTGCACATTTACTTGCAATGGATAAAAATATGAATTGCATTCAGAAATACATCTAAATGTGTGTGTATTTAATGGTTTCTCTGCGAGAACCATAAGTTGCAGTGGTTTGTGACGCAGTAGCTTATGAGAAGTAATAACAAAGGTGTAGTGGCAAAGTACTGCAGTGATTATTGACATCTTCACGCATTGTTACATGCTGGTCTGTTGCTGCTGTGAGTTGGTGGTATGCAGCGTTACAGGAATGTTTTGTGTAGTGCATGCCCCAGCCTGAGCTCAGCCCCACAGTTCATCCTGGCAAGAGAGGGGGAGACTGTGTGATGGGAAGAAAGAAAAGCTGCTGGTCAATTTGAGGAAAAAGATGTGCACCTACAATCTGTGAGTCTGTTCAATGTGGTCTATGTAAACGGTAACAAACAAAATAATCTTAATTTAAGGTCTAATACTAAAAATAAAAAGCTAGCCACCTGTCAAAAACCTCCAAATTATTTTTTAGGTGAGTGAG